GCATACATTAAACGAAGTTATGCGGGGGGGAGGGGGATAAAGGGGGGGGCATGGGGGGGCATCGGGGGGTGTATGCCGGGCCCAGGGCGCTACTCCAACCGTCCAGGATGGTGCAGGCCGTGCCGGGACTCGCGCCACGCGCGATACGCCCATCTCAGAGGTGCCAAGCTGGCCCACCGGAAGGAATACAATGACCGCCTGCACACGTACCAGCTCGATGCACCAGCCCAGGACATTGGCAGCCTCGCGCTCCTTCTCGGTCACGTCCCCGCCCCTGGCAGCCAGCAGGACGTCAAGCACCGCCATGCCACGATTCAACTTGCCATGGGGAACGTTGTAGTCCAGCATCTGAAGTTTGGGAGGGGGGGTGGGAAAGGCTTGGTGCCCTGCAACAGGGCTGCCATGAGAAGGAGTGCATGCACAATGACCACCAGTGCCGAGGGAGGGGGCAGGCTCTGTATCTGTATCCCCAATCCAATGTGTGTGGTGTTGCATCCAAACCTAGATCACACCGTGCGGAGCCAGTCCTTGGAGGACTCCGGCTGCCCAGCAAGGATCGAGTCCTCCAGCAGCTCATCACGCAGCTTCTCGAACACTGCAAGAAACTCCTGCAAGAGAGTTGAATGTTCTGATAATTGGGCAGGTATGTGGCAAGGGCGCATTGGCTCCTGAGACCCGGGGCGACGCTGGCACCTGCTTCGTCTGGTGTGCCTCTGTCTTCTGTTTGCTGGCGGCATGCCCAGCTTCTACCACAGCAGCCATGATGCAGCTCGTGGGTTATGTGATCGTCGAGATGGCGGTAAGAGGGCTCTGCGGTGGCCGCGAGGAGGGTGGGTTCATAAGTACTGACTCGCACGAACGAGATTCATGAATGTCCGAGATGGTGGACATTGCTCCCTTCGGCCATCCCGGGACGATACACAACGCCTGAGCTTACGCGACCCGAACCCGACCCCTTGCCTACAGATACGATGTAACCGACAATGAACGCTTGATCTGGCTCAGATGAACCCCTCGTAGGCTGCACCCATTGTCGCCGCTCCGCCCAGCTTTCCCGTGGCCTATCTGGGATGCGTAAACCCCACACGAGACAACTTTCTATCTGGAAAGCTACCATTCAGAGGTAGAATATGAAGTGCAATGGCGATGGAACGCCGTGGACGCACGATAGGCGATGCCCGCGGTTCACTGGAAGGCCTTACTCCCAAGGGCACTCCTCTCATCCTTCGCCCTTCCCAGGTCCCAGATGCCCCCCCCCCCCACAATACCTGCCTAAATGCTGGTTGGGTTCTAACAAAACGTGGAACTAACGTCAGGTGCAACGATATCACCTCGGCCTTCATCTCCCTATTGTAACTGTTTGCCGCCTCTTGCCACCCCCTCGCACGATGGGAGCCCATTCGGCATGCTCGGTCGTTTGACGCACTGCTCGTAGTGAGTGGTCTCAGCCTACCAAACGGGCATCAAAGAGAGCACAGCTTCCATCAGGGTCTTATCCAGTGCGTCGTGCTCCTGGTACACTCCCTTCCCCGTCTTCAGAGAGGTCCTGGTCGCCAGATTCTGGAGTGACTCAGCAATCATTCACTGGGCTCCTTGGTTGTGGCATCAGGTTACCTGGGATGCTCAGCAGGGCTGGTGATGGACCATTCTTGTCCATGATGTGCAGGATGGTGCCACCGTCGAGTCTCTGGGTCTCATGTTCCATGGATACGAAGCCCAGAAGAATCAATACACTGGGTGGTAGGTCTGTCACTAGGACAGGTCCTTGCCATGCCTCCTGCCAGTGCTGAGCGTGGATGCTGCGATGGGCCCGTGTCAGTGTGCAGAGAGTGGAGACATGAGCAGCTTGGTATTGGAAGGATAGGATGAGGGGCTGCCACGGGGTGAAAACATGGAGAGAAGTACCCGGCAACCGAGAGATCATGCACATTGCAGAGCTGGTGTCTTTGTCCAGCAGCCTCTGTATACTCCTGCACAGCTACCCACATGCGGTCAAGGCCTTCCTCAATGGAACCCAGACTCGAATCCAGGAAGCACTACAGATGGTGATTGGCAAGATGTGGGAATTCGCCTTGACCGGGCCCTTTCCCCACTTTGCAACTGATCCCGCTCTGCACCGAGTCCACGCCGCCTTGCAACGCCTATGAAACCCGACCATCACACTGCATTGGGGCTCTGTTCTGTCACATTCCTAATTCAGGTCATATACAGAGGTCCACCGTTATAGGGGCTTGCCAGCACCCACAACAGCTGGGCAGGTGCTGGCGGTGGCTTCAAATCCAACCAGCACGGGGGTCGCTAAGACGTGCCGCGGCGGGGCGCCCGCGGGTCTAGGACCAGGGTCCATGCGCGGGTTGGCAGTGGTAAAGTTCGCATGACCACAGCCACTGCGCAGCGGCGCGCCGCCTAAGCCATTGGGCCCGCCCGTCGTCACTCCTACACCCAGACGCCGCTCCCACATTGTGCATTTGGCGTCGGACCGGCTCTCTATTTGTCACCGTTACCAGCGTGGTGGCCATCTTGGCCGCCCCCTGGGAGGAGATCCTGCATATTGAGGAAGGGGAAGGTGCAGTACACACCTTCCACTGTGTGGACTAGGTGATAATCCTCCACCGCCTGCTGGAATCGCGGGAATGTCGTGATGGTGTTAGAGTTGGCCTTGGCAAGGGCTGCCGGGATCTTCCCAACCGCTGATAGACATCTGCAGAGCAAGTATAAAGAGGGGAGCAGTGACTAATCATCATCACGAACCAATACGGCGTGCGAAGACACAACGGTCATCAGTAGATTTCTTGCAGATTATCCCCCCCGTCCCTTCCATCATTTGCATCGGTGCTCACACGAAGAAATCCTTGTCGAGGGTTTGCGGGACGTTTTTGGGAATCCCGGTCCCCCCCGCCACGCCGCCCTCTGCCGATCCGACATTCGCATGGCGTAGAGCGCGGCCACGTCTAACCCCCTAGACGGCGGTGTGGCTGACGACGAGTACCACGACGTCGATGACTCGCCCGTGCCTGTCTGGATCGCCCGGGGCGTCCCGCTTCCGCGACACTCTGCGGAGCGAGGCCAGCGTGACCTTCCATGTTGAATATCGGTACTCAGCCTCGCGCCCCTTGCCGTCCTTCTGCAAATCCTCGCCCCATCCGCTGATGCCAGCTTCTATGAGCCGCTGCTGCTCCTGGATGACCTCATCGGGAGGCTCGTGGTGGGAGGGAGGATCGTATGGGGTGGAGACGGGGTTCTATGAGAATCGCAGTCGGGAGGGCACAGGGTGAGGCTCGCGATCCTGCCAGGTGGTCGTGTGTCGTCCAATGTCAGACGTCACCCCCAGCCCTTCATATGCAACCAACAAAACATGTGCCCGCCCCCTAGCAGGCCTCAAGCGATCAACCCTTCAGTCAACAATCAACATCAAGTCATCCTGTGCAAGGGGGGAATGGGTCACAATGTAAAGGGCCTGCAGTCATCCACCGACCCCAGCAGGGGTGTCACCGCGGGGCCGCCAGCGGTAGCATGTGTGTCGCTGAAGGGCGGAGTCCATCCATCAGAGCCGCTGCGAATATATGTGGGTTACAGAGTGTTGCAAGGTGGGCAGCCAATGCCAGGGAGTGCCCCCATGACGGCCAATCTATTTATGCTAACAAAAGTTCTTCCTCAAACTCCACCTAGTGCAACCACATCCTATCTAGGATACAGTAGACCAATCCACTCTCCGTGTTCATCACCTTGGGACTTCTGCAGCAGCAGCTGCTGCCTCCAGTCGAGCCGCCTGCGATTTGCACCGCTCCTCCTCCAGCAACGTGCGCAGCTCCTCCACCAAGTTGCTCTCGAACGCACCATGCCACCGCTGAAACTCGGGCTAGTCCAGAACCCGCTTCCTGCGCCGCCCTGCACGCTCCCGTCCGGCCTCAGACCTCCCCGCCCCCTGGGACAGGTCCCAATCGGTCGCGTTCAGCCTTTTGCTGCCGGATCGATTCCCGTGGCGGATGAGGTTCTTGATGCTGAGCCTCGATGTCAGTGAGAAGGAAGTGGGGGGTGGGGTCCTCTACTTGACGCACTGTCACCCGCCCGTGACCAGAATCACCACATGCCAACATTCCATAATATCCACATTATGCTTGGAAGCTCACAGTGTCATACCGCGTCGGGGCCCGGTGTAGCCAGGACCTCGGCAGACTCGTGCAGTTTTACACGATTCTCTCTGTGGCTAGGGGATTGGTGGTGGGGAGGACAAGTAAAACTTTCTCGAACTCACGCGAAAGTATATGGCCCACCTCTCCCTCCATTCTGCTCCAATTTTCGCTCCTTTGAAGTTCTAATATTCCCATCAAACCGTAGCTTACTTGGACCAGATGCTCGTTGGCCGTCTCGCTCCCATTGGCATTGGCATCGCACCCCGGCCACACCGCCCTGCTGCACACCTCGCGGTCCGCGCGTGGGCTCCCTTCACGCCCCTGCCACCCCCCGACAGCATCTCCCGCCCGGCCCTCGCGTTCCAGGTTCGAAGGGTGCGGTGCATGGCCCTGGCCTCAGGCCTCGCGGAGCCCCGCTCGCTGGTGCTCGTGCTCCGTGTAGCCCTTGGTGTGGGCCTCACATACTACCTGGTGGGCGGGGGGTGGCGGCCCCCCTTGGCATGTCTTTGTATGGTGCCTTTCAAGGCGTTATGCCCCCTTGAATCTATCCTTGTGGAGCCTGTGCAGGCCCAAGCCTTGCCAGTGGGGTGACAGCAATCGCGAACCATCATCCCCATCCCCCACCTAGCAGGTCTCCCGGGCCATGGGGTCTGGCTCCTCCACCAAGGCCCATTCCAGCACTTCCTGGGCGCCCTCCGCCACCGCCGACGCCCCGCGCCGCATCAGCAAGTCGGGCTACGACATCACCCCCCTCACGGCGGAGCAGCGGGAGGCGGCCGCCGCGGGGCTGACCCCCCACCAGCGCGACGTGGCCCTGGCCAGCGGCACGGAGCGCGCCTTCACGGGCAAGACCGTGGACGGCACGCCCCACGACAGCAAGGCCAAGGGTCTGTATGTCTCGGCCGTGGGCGGGCTGCCCCTCTTCTCATCGGACACCAAGTTTGATTCGGGTGTGCAGACGGAGGAGAGGAGGTTTTGGGGCGCTGGTGGCTCCCTGCCCAAGAGCTCGACCAGTCACGGAGAGGGAAGGGATGGGGCGTACAAGTCTTGCGGCCCCAAGCCTGGAGGAGCTGCGGTGCTGAGCGCGGACTCGGAGCCTGCTCTGGGCCAGACTGGTGTGCCTGTGGGAGCCTGACCCATTACCAATCCCCTTTCTTCCCATGCTACCCCCCCCGCAGGCACCGGCTGGCCGAGCTTCTATACTCCCGTTGACCCAGATCATGTGATTGAGGTGACAGACGCCTCCATCCCCTTCATGGTCCGTACAGAGGTGTTGGACGCAAGGTCCGGCGCACACCTGGGCCACGTCTTCAACGACGGCCCCCGGCCCACCGGCAAGCGGTACTGCATGAACGCTGCAGCACTGCGCTTCATTCCCGCAGGGGCCGATGTCCCGCCAGAATCGAAGCCGGTGTCACCCTGAGCTGGGCGCTGGGCCTGTGAGCAAGCCGCGTGGACACCCAGAAGCCTTGCTGTTGATATTTCTACCCACCTGGACGCTCAGTCCCCGTGCCCTCCTGCTTGATTGTCCAGATGTACCTCCATCATGTGCAAAATAAATAAAGCTTAACAGGTTCTATCTGTTACAGGAGAGGTGAAATGAGGTGCTAAGGGGCAAAAACAGATGGCCACACCCGCATCCACCTGTGTCTGCACAGTGCGCCAGATGGGGGAGGATCAAGCACTGGCCTCCTTGGCCTTGGCCGCGGCACGTGCAGCGTAGCTGAGTGGAGGTGGAGAAAGGGTATGAGGGGTTGAAAAGGAGTGGCAGTGAATGCGCGCAGACATTCATACAAAGCTCCCATGCTGCCCTTGGCCCCAAACCCCTAGCACCAACCGGACTCACAAGTCGTCCCACTTCTTGTTCTCGTTCCAGTGGTACGTCTGTTAGGGTGAGCGAATGATTACCCGCTGAGATGGTGTCGAAACGTGTACGAAAGCTGGAGGGCAAGGGAGCGACCACTGCAGTAAACCGCAGGGCCAATTCGGCGCATGTACCTGCCACCAGAAGCCCAACACAGTGCCCAGACCGGCTCCAAGGATCATCTCCTTCACGACAGAGGTCTTGGCTGCCGCGCCAGACGGCGTGAACATGGAAGCGGCCTTGATAACTTGGGTGCCCGACATTGCGACAGGAGCAAGAGAACCCGGGCCCGCAGCAGCTATTCAGGAAGAAGTCCTGGACCCGTTGTAAGGAGGCTGCAACTGCTGCTCGAGTGGAAGATCTCCCCGAGTAAAGCTAGGTTGGGGCCGGGACCTGGCCCCCGGAAGACACGACGCTCGCTCTCGGCTGGGAGGAAAGTGGGGAGCACCTGGCAAAGGTAGTATTAAATGTCCCTCCACCGTGTCACCACAGCTCGGGAGAGTCGTTTTGCAGCAACTTTGGATTTGCTGTATCATTATCTTGCCAACTAGATACAATGTGTGTACATCCCCCATGGATAACACTCACTTTAGCCACGACTGCCACCCCATTCCTGACCCCTGCAGAGGAACATGAGACTCTACTCTTCCTGATCTGCTTGAGTGCGTAAATCGTGCTTTCAAGGAGGGAGGCCGGAGACCATCACCGTCTGCATGCTCGTCACCTCTGATTTATGACATGAGGCGGGCAGAACAAAGAGTGTCCAAACGTGATCCCTCGAGTTCTTCTGTCAATCCTTCTCCCCAACTACATTTTTTCAAGATACCAACAATTGGCTGGTCGACGTGAATGAATGCTGAGGGCTGTTCAGAGATCTCAAACCAGCTTTCATCAAACCCGGGTCTAACCAGATCTGTCGAAATTACGTTAGTAATCTGAGCCAAATGCCGCGACCGAGAACACCATACATCGAACCGAAACCCGGCCTCGGAAACCATACTTGGCAACTGAGAACGATGTGCAGAGTTATCTTACGTCCCCAAGCGCGCGAGCAGAGGGGGGTTGCCCCGTCTGCGGTCGCGGGCAACTTTGCTGACCTGCTGACGGGCTTTGACCCAGCCAGCCTGCTGGAGGCCAAGCAGGAGCCTCTGAGCCCAGATTCAGAACTGCTGGAGACGGCAGAGGGGTTTGAGCTGCAGGATACGGGTGCGTTCCAGGCGTGAGAAGGTCTATCCGTTTGATACGGGTACTGTGTTCGGATGCGATGCGCTGTATGGGAACTCATGGCGAGCCCTCACTGCCCTCCGTTTACGCAGATGCGGACCTCCTGGCCATGTTCCAAGAGCTGGCAGAGGAGCCCGCCCCGGAGCTCGCACCCCTGGCCATGCCAACCTCGCCCGCGGCTTCCCTCCCTGGTCCCATGGTGCCCTTCGAGCCGGTGCAGACTCTCCCCGTCCCCGCCCGGCCCGCCATGACCATCTTCGATCAACAACTGATGTTCCAGCAGGCCATGCTGCAGCAGCAGCAAGCAGCCATGGCCACGGCTCAGATTCCCGTCAAGCCTGGGTACCCCACCCTCCGCCGCGGCAAGACGCCCGAAGAGGTGGCTGCCCAGGTAGAGCGCACCAAGCAGCGCCGCAGGGAGTCTGCCCACCGCTCGCGCTCTCGCCGCAAGGACTACATGAAGACCCTGGAGGAGGAGAACGACGCCCTGCGCGCTGAGAATGCGGCCCTTCGCGCCAAGCTGAAGGTCCAGGGGGTGTCCCTGACCTCCTCTGTGATGGACGCAGCCTCGAGGCAGACGTCTGGCGGAGCCGACTCGGGATCCAGCTCCGAGGTGGCAGCCATGCAGATGTAGGTGGACTGGATGACTCTCGCAGGCTCAATGGAGCCTGCATGGAGTACTGCTTCCTTGGCGGTGCCGCCAGGGCTGCGAGATCTCCCAAAGTAATCAACTTCCCCCTACTACGAATGCTCCAGCATCCCTGCATGCCTCTCACTTTTCTATTCACAAAGAGCCCCTGCGGACATTGATCTCAGAATTGTTTTCCATAGCACACACTGCGGGCTTAGTACTTTCCCGATTAATCACTTGTCTGTGCCAACCCCAGCATTGTGTGTGGCAGACCACACTTCCCTCTCTTTGAAGGAGACAAACTCCTTTGCCAAATGGTTGTGAAGAGACTAAGACTTACATTTTGGCGAGAAGCGAGGGTCTGGAGTGTCAGAGTGGGCAAGGTGTGGGCGAGTGCCGAGTCACGGTGGCAGATGAAAAACCAAGCAGCGATCTGATGGAGGAATGACGTGCAGGACTCTACATATTTTGTCATGTGTACATTCTACCGCACGCTGCGAGTGGGAGGTCCAGCAGGAGGGATGGGCGCAAGGTTGTTCGGGGGTACTATACTCCTTGTATGAAGGCAGCCCTCCACGCCCCGTCCGCGCACGGGGTCTCTCGGCCGGGGCGATGTGCAGGCACGTCTAGAGAGGGCAGCTTGCCGTGCGGGGTACCCAGGTCGCAGGGCAGCATGCCCAGGGGACATGGCTGCCATGTCGCTGCCCTCTGCCATCGTGGCCGTGCTGCACGTGCCGGCCTGTTTGTGCGACAGGAGTTGTGGGCAGATGTTGGCGAGGCAGGCTGGGTGTGACACGCAGGATCAGGTCTCCCACCCACAAACAAGTGAGCAAAGCACCTATACAGGGATACTCCCCCCACCCCCCCAATCCAGCAAACAACAAACCCTCACTGGGCGACGTCTGGCTGGTCGCTCGCACCATCCTGCACATGCCTCGCCTGTGCGGTCACGAGCTGCTCAGCGGAGGTCAGCAGCGCATCCAAGTCTGCGGGCCGTGCTCCGGGGCTCTTCGGACCGCCGCGCGGGCGCGCCGCACCGCGGCACACCGCCAGGCTGGCCCCTGCCCATCGCTTGTCCCCCGGCTCGGTGAGGCGGGCAGCCAGGCGGGCGCAGCAGTCGAGGAGGAGTTCCCGCGCACCGTGCTCCTCGGCCTCGCCCTCCCTGGCCCAGCGTGCGCAGCAGGCAGGCAGGGCCTGGACGAGGAGCGCCCTGGCGGCCGCCGCCCCGTGCGGGACGCCCTCCCAGGGGCAGAGCAGGGCCGCCCAGTCGCGCAGGCGGGGCGGCGGGGCCTGGCCCGGCGGCATGCCGGCCAGCTGGCGCAGGAGGTGCGCTGTGAGCAGGGCGCTCAGCCCCGGCCACTCCGCCTCCAGCGCGTCCAGCGCGGCGCGCAGCGCGCCCAGCGCGGCGTCCCCCGCCGGCAGCGCGGCCGCGGCGCTCCACACCGGCTCCACCAGGTCTGCCGCGCAGGTGCGGAGCACGGCAGACTTGAGGTCCGCGAGGGCCGCGCGCCGCGCTTTCCTGCCCTCTGCCGCAGAGTACGGCCGCGGCGAGGGGCCCGCGGGGCCCTGGTCTGAGTCCCCGTGCCCCCCTTCCCCGCGCCCCTCCTCTGCGCGGCCGCACCTGGTGCCCAGCGCCAGCGCGGCCGCGCGCGCCGCCGCACCGGTTCCGCCTTGGTCCTCGCCGTCCTCGCCGCGGGCCCTGGCGGCTGCCCCCACCGCCGCCGCCAGGTGCAGGCCCAGGTAAGAGCGCGCCAGGACCAGCACCTGGGCCCGCCCCGCCGCCAGGTGGTCGGCCTGGCGCAGCCAGTAGAAGTCGCGGAGCCAGGTGAGGGCCTCGCCGGCGCCCGCCCGCGCCGCCGCCAGGCTGGGCAGCTCGTTGTGCGCGGCCTCGTGGCGCAGATCCACCAGGCCACGGGGCAGGCCGGCTGCGGCGGCGAGGGAGGCGACGGAGGACGCGACGCGGCCGCGCTGCGCCGAGTCCGCCACGCCGTTGACCAGGCGGACCAGGATCATGCAGAACTGGGCGCGCAGGGCGGCGTCAGAGCCCTGGCCGCGCGCGTCCCTGCGGCGGGAGGCGGCGCGGGGTGGGGTTGGAAAGGGGGGAGGAGGGGGCCCAGGGAGGGGATAGTGCAGGGGCTGCACATGCCTTGGAATGCACATGGGGTAAGGTTTGAAGTGCGAGCGTCCAGATCCTCTACAAATCCGCCACACAAGCACAAGAATGTATATTTCTTTCCAGACCGGCAGACCATCCAACAACGCACATGAGCTGAGTCTCCACGAGACTGGCGGTGGAGTCGACAGCCAGGGGGACCCGCCCGCGCACCCTCCATGCCACGACCTGGGGAGGGGGAGGGATGTGCAGTTAAGGCATCCGGTGTGTGTGTGTGTGCAGCAGGGAGCAGCTGCCTCCAACGAGCCTTCCACGACCACATTGTAACCGAGATAAGTTCACCAGTTCCCACCCTTGCTACTCCAAGATCCCGCTCCGAATCGTCAGCTGCAAATAGCTGGTCGCCCACCGTCCTCCATTCCGCCCAATCAAGCCAGGGAACCAGCCGACCCAGGGACATAGCGCCCGTGTCCAAGGGCGCACAAGGCCAGGACCTGGCAATATACTAGGCTATAAACACATTACTCCAGGATGAGCCAGCATCATGGCGATGAAGGTCGCATCGGTGCTGCCAAGGGCGGAGGAGGGAGGTCTTCACAAGGATGCACGCAAGGGCGCGCGGGCGCGGAGTTGTTGCTCCTCCCCATTTCTCCACTGTTTGCAAAGGTCTTGTGCCATCACTTTTCGCGGTAAGAGTTAACTGCGCTGTGAAATATCAGTGGTAGCCGCGAGCAAACCCAATCTTGAGCAACTATCGGTTAAAGAATACGTCCAGACATTGGCGGGGACCAAGGCAAGCGGCCTGCAGGCTACTGTCCCTCACTCAGCGCCTGCCGCCTTGTTCCGTATGCTGGTGAGCTCCAGGTCAGCACCCATGAGCGCTGTGTCGACGTCAAAGTCCAGGGCAGACATGCGCTTTCCATATGCCTCGGTGTTCCAGGCATCGTCGATGGGAACTTTACCGCCCATGGAGTCATCCAGGTGCTCCGGATTGAAATACTCACGCAGGATCTCTGTATGGCGTAGAGAGGAGATCAGGGAATGGCATGCACGCGGAGGCAAGGCAGCAGTCCCAGAGAGAATTGGATGGTGATGGATGACATCGATGTCGATCTGAATGCATCGAGCTTGCCTGGGGGGTCGCGAGCATGGAGGAAGACGAGCTTCTTCTTGGTATTGACATCGACAAAGGCCTTGACAGCCCGCCACATCCCTACAGCGGGAACGAGCGGATTGAGGATTTGTTCAGCAGGCAGGCGCGTTTTATGTCGATTTCAGCGGGACCCTCTGCACGAAGGCGAGGTGACAGAGTTCACATGCACTGCAGGTGGTAGGAGTGCATCATTTCAGCCCAGATCTCGCACGCGGTCTATGGATGAAATGCAGATAAGACAGGTCGATGTAACCATCCAGCCCTAGCCCCTCCTGACTGCGCCATCTCTACTCACATTCAAATACAAACGGAGTCTGATAGCAGACGGCCAGGCCCAGACGCTCCGGGAAGTGATTTTGCAGGATGTGCAGGGTCTGAAGGGCCATCCGAATGGGTGGGGAGTTCTTGCGAGAGTATCCTTCCAGGTCCAGAAGCCATGTCATCTTCCCATCGGCTGCAGTATGGGTGAGTATCGGCCATGTTCAGGGTGTGCATCTCCTTGAGGATGCAGGCACATCCTGCGGACGGCTGGAAGCTCATTTGTCACGGCCGGGTCGGGGACCACCCCAGCATTCCCCTGTCCTCTCCACAGAAATTTACGTGAGCTGTCGCCTAGTTGTGCAGCCCGTTCAAGGGTGTACACGAGGAATCGCAGTCGAGCCTCGTTGTCCTGAATGGTTTCCAATCTGAGAGGTGGGAGGTGGAGGGAGCCCGGGGTGAGCAAGGCAATTGCAGGATGAGCCGATGGAGGTGTGCTGCATGGGGAGACCTCTCACCCTCCCCGTGACCTCCTAGGCGCCCTTGCAACCGATCAGTCCCACAACCCCCATGGACCCACCGTGGGCGCATGAGGATCACCGGACGACCAGCGTTATCGGTGCCCTTCAGGATGTAGAGCTTCCCCTTGTCGACATCATGCTGCACCCTCGACCAGCGCAGCTCATAGGGTTTGTACTCTGCCCGCCTGCAGGGAGGGGTACAGGTCCACACATGGGCTGGAGGCGCGGATGCAAATGGACTGGCAGGCTTGGTGTGGGCCACTGCTGTCAAATTCTGGAGAGCAGGGCGAGGCCGCTATGGGACACATACCAGGTCAGGGTCGCCTCCAGCATCCTTGCAGCCTTGTGAACATGCCAGTGCCTGGCACGCAGGTATCTCACATAGGTGCCCTCGGTGCAAAAGGCAACGTCTGCCGCGGTCTGTTGCGGAAGGGGACGCGGGTTCAGCGTGGGGCCGGAGGCAGGCGAGGAATGAGCTCAGGCATCCCCTGATCACGAGGACTCCGTACACGGACCCACCCCGCGCACACCTTGATGAAGGGCTTCAACTCAGCCCGAAGAAGTTCGACCTTATCTCTCTCTTCGTCGGTTATATCTGTTGCGAAGGCCCCCAGTTTCTCGGCCATGCTGGAATTCCAAGAGCCCAGGGATTCAACTCCGCGGGGGTGGAAGCAAGCGGGTGGCTGACCCCCCCTCGCAACCAGATCGACTGAGAGAACACAGACCACACCGACAGTATTCTCAACAGAGGGCTGACAGTCCTGGCACGAACAGCGCGGTCAAGGCTCTTTGATCAGATTACTGCCCTTCCTGTTCACCATTGGTCCGGCGCGGACCGTACGCGCGCGCGGACAAGGGCGCGTCAGTTCGCATACATCCAATTGCTGGTCTCGGTCTCATAAGACACGAATACGTGAAGCACCACACCATACAGGCATCGCCCATCATTCATATGCAACACACTGGATCAGTAGTAATTCGCCTAGGGTGTCGGACTGCGGAGTGGTAGGGCTAGATCTGCCGAGCGACCTTCGTGACACGCGGGCATTTTTCATGATCACGACCTGCAAATACATAGACATGGGTACTTCATGAGTAGCGAAGCCCGTAATCCGACGTATACTCCCATCGGCTTGTGACATTTGAGGTCTTTCGCTACCAGGCGGTGAAGCCTGCAAGTCGCCTGCGCGACCAACAAGCGAAGCGGCAACAGCAATGGCGCAGGGGGGTGCGCTTCCCGTCACCTCTGTCCCTCCATCAGGTCCCCCAAAGATCTGTATCGACAAAACGTGGCAGGATGAGACCGCAACCTCCCAGTTTACACTAGGCATCAAGTTCAAGCTTGCGCTGTGTGCCCTTGGAGCAATCCTCCTGGTTGGTGCGGCGGTGGGACTGTCTGTGACGATGGCTCTAAAAACGAAGACCAACTCGGCTTCCACCAGCCCAGGGCCACCGAGCCCCCCAGCATTTTCACCACCACCGCTGCCACCATTGCCCCCCGGGAAGAAGTACAGCCCACCACCCCCGGGCAAAGGCTCGCCGAGTCCATTCCCTTCCCCTGGCTTCCCGCCGCCCCCCGGGTCCTCCTCAAACGTCGTGCCCACTCCCTCTGGCGACGTTCCCTTCACCGTGCCGTCGGGTGGGTGGGGGGGAGACTTTGCTACAGGAGGCCAAGCTCGGTGATGCTCCTTCTGACGTGCAGGCCCGAAGCTGGCCACGGACTGGCACTGCCCCTCAACAACCTCACTCTCATATGCCTCCTGTCTTCCAGGCTGGACTGCGCTGTGGTGGGAAGAGTTTGAGGGGGACAGTCTCGACTCCAACTTTTGGCAGTATGATGTCGGCAATGGTAACTGGTGAGCTGGCATGCAGGGACCCCTGGCCCTGAACAGGGTTCTGTGCTGTCATATTGAATGTCAATTGGCATGCTGGGGGGTAATGCCTAATTTCTCTCAACCCCTCCCTTCAAATGCTGGGCACCGTCATTGTCCCATCTCCTTTTCGCCCTTTCAAACAGGGGCTGGGGTAATGGCGAGGAGGAGTACTACACCACCGACAATGTGGCTGTACAGAACGGCCAGCTGCAAATAACCGCAAAGCGCGAGACCGTGAATGGCTTCAGTTACACCTCCGGCCGCATCAACAGCCAAGGTCTGGTGGGTTTCTGCCCGGGCGTCGCTGACTCATCGGGGAAGACCTACAGCACCCTCAAGCTGGAGGTCTCCCTCCAGACCCCTGCGCCAGGTCTGTCGCTGGTAATATTGGGTGGTGGTATGTTGAGGGAGGGTGGGGGAACTGCGCCTGATTGTGGTTGCCAGCTTGCATGTTAAAGGCAGCCCCAAGCTTGCATGGCTAGTCTTCACAATTTTCGATATCAAGTTCCACCAAGCACTGACACCGCCTCCTAAATACTCTGTTGTCCAATGAGCATATCTTTTCGGCCTCGATTCTCTATAGCTCCATGTCTGAGTCTTCCCTGCCATCCTCCACCCACAGGGCAAGGGCAGTGGCCAGCATTCTGGCTGCTTCCCACCACCCTCACCTACGGTGCCTGGCCCATGTCAGGAGAGGTAGGTTGAGGGGGGATTGGAGTGAGCGATGATCACCAGGAGAACTTGGAAGTCTCTGTAACCCATCATTGAGGCAGTCTCCCATCTCAGTGCTGGCCAATGAATGGCCATCAAGTGTGTGGGTGCTGGAAGAGGTTAGGTGCAGGAACTCCTTGATCTGAGCATCCCACTCCCCTCCCCTCAAACCCCAGATTGATGTTCTGGAGTCCATCAATGCCATGACGAGGGCAACCCAGGGCTTGCACTATGGCAAGGGCAGCTCAGGCGCAATCAAGAACACATTCTACACAAAATCAGACGCTGGCAAGAGCTGGTCCAGCGCTTTCAACACCTTTGCTGTGACATGGACGTCTACCAGCATTACCTGTGAGCAGGGCAATTCACCTGTGGATTTTCTAGGGGTGTCTAGGAACGTACATGTATGGTAATGGATGCCCAATGCCTTTTCATTATGGTAACGATGTTTGTGTCGAGCAGGAGGCATGGCATCAACCTGCATCCTCGGCGCCTTCAAGTTTCAAGGGATACGTGCTGGCTCAAATCCCATACCACCCCATCCTGTGCTTCGCAGTCTCCATCAATGGCAATGACATCAGGACGCTGCAGAGCTCGAGCGTGAGCGCTGACGGCTGGTTTACCTCGGCCTCCAACAAAACCCCCAATGCACCATTCGACGTACCCTTCTACATGATATTGTGGGTGCCAAGGTCTGGGGGGGAGGGCGGGCCTGAGACTTGATATGGGCCCTGGTGCTCCTCTGAGGATTCTTCTCTTGTGACGATGGGTACCAACCCTCCAAGCACTGGAGGACAGCAAGCGAGCCTGTCACACAAGCCAGCCTCGTGCCTGCACCTTCCTAATTGCATCAATGACCATGACCTCACTCCGATCCCATTGAAACAACAGAAACCTGGCCCTGGGAGGGAACTGGGCCGAGCCCGTCAACGCCAGCACCCCCCTTCCCACGACCCTCCTGGTCGACTACATCCGCTTGACAGGCACCAACTGACGAGCACCGACTGACGCGCGGGGTGGCGTGACCACGCGTCAACACAAGCTCTGCACGGTGTTCTGGGCAAAGATCCCATATGACCAGGGACCACAGCCTCCTATGTGATCCGAGCACCCATCAATCTTGCATTGCTACACATGCTCCACACCCATCCTCACACCCCATCCACTGGTACTTCCCCATTCTGCATGTCTCCCGGGACGAGCCCACGAGTGTAGTACCCTGTGGCACCTCCTTGTCTTCTGCTGCACCCTTGCATCCCTTCCCAAACACCACCCTTTCCCAACCCACTCCTGTTTCTCTGGTGTACAGACCACAGTGGCGGGGAAGTCGCTTCAGTCCAGGTACACCTTGAAGTTCCCGGCCAGCAGCAGCGAGCCGGGCAGGGGCCCCGGCCGCGGTGCCAGGACGCTCATGCTGCCCTTGGCCAGGTCCACATCCTGGACATACACAAACCCCGCCACGGAGGCGGAGAGGAGGAGGTCCGGGGTGGGTGCATGGCTCACCCCCAGCACCGTGTACAGCAGCTCCTGGGGGTTGGTCACCCGCGCCAGCTTCAGGGGGTCGGCCACGGAGGTCGCGCCGATGGGCAGGGCGGAGGGTGGGGCCTTGGGGCCGCCGCCCACCCGGTACACCTCCACCCCCTCCAGCTTCAGCGTCTGGGACGCGGGGGCCAGAGAGCGGGTGGGCCCGTAAAAGTACTCCTCCACCCGGACCTGCGCGAGGGGTTGCAGGGGGCTTGGCGGGGGGGGAGGCATCAATACCTGGCTGGGATGGCAAGGCAGCCAGGGGACGAATGCGCAGCCGCTGGCTCCTCCACGATGTGCAAAGCACTCATCGGGCGGAAGCCCATGCATTGAACTGACACAGGTAAGCGTCCGAGAGAAACACCTCTGAAGCCGCCCCCACCTTGCGCGCTTCCTGGCGGAGCTCGCGCGTCCGCGTCACCACCCCGCCCGACTTGGCAAGCTTCACTACCGAAATGGCTGCATGGTGGGGGGGGGGGGCGGGGGTTATAGGGAGAGGACATGCTGGGTGTATGCTGGGTTAAAAAACTTTGTGACTGCTGCCCATGCACCCAAAGAACCTGAAGCAGTCTATGAACCCATTGCCGCCCAGCTCAGTCACCACAGCTGTGCAGCAGGCGTGAGCCCCCCACACCACACCTGGCGAGCTGGTGGCCAGGTCAGAAGAGAGCTGGGAGTGCAGGCGATCGCTGCCCACCACAAGCACAACATCGGCCGCCAGGGATGCAATGGTGTGTCGCAACAGGCTGTAGCCATCGCCCTCTATCCAGCCCATGGTGTTGACCATCATGCCGGAGGCAGCGACCTGGGCATGGGAAGGGTGAGGAGGCGCGGCTCTGGCACTGAGGGACTTAGGGTTCCAGAGCAGGCAGGGCTGGAACAAACATTTGCAAGGGCAGCCTGCACGGGCGCCGGCGGCTATGCTCGACAACATTGTGAGCCCACGGCAAATACCCTGATCACCTTGGCATCCGTCCCAGCTCTTCGCTCCAGGGCATCAGCCACCCGTTCCACGAGATGCTGATACAGGGCCATGTTTTCTCCGCCGGCCACCGTTCCTGCATAGTAGACCAGCGGGGCATCCACGGGGAAGCCCTCCTCTACGTCGATGGGCGCCTCCACGGAGGTTGCAGCGATGCAGCCTGGGACTGTGATGCTGCCTTGACCTGTGGACCAGAGGGGTGAGTCATGGGGAGCGAGCGATGAAACTTGAGCCAGTATGGACGGCACCATGCCTCTGGAGTGCATGCCTACCCTCACCCAGAAGGTTGGGCGACCCCTCTCCTGCAATGGTGAGCGTGACATGAGACAGAAAACGCCGCCCCCCCCCACCCCCACCCCTCATGCTACCGACCTATGTCCAGGTCGACCAGCGCTGGAGTCCAGCGGCACCGGATGGCATAGTTGATCAGGATCTTGCACAGCGTGCTCTTCCCGGCGTCGGTGGGCCCAACGATCTGGATGCCGGGGACAGAGGCCCAGCAGGTTGCACATGCACTGCACTTGGGAAGCTTGCATGGCAGACGCAGCAAAACATCACACCCCACAAGTACACCAGCACCTGAAACATACCACGGTCGTGGGTCCGCGCCGCTGCTCGGTCAGAGCCTGCTGCCGGCGAGCCTCTAGAACATCGTGGACGTTCACATAGCTCTGCATGGGGGTGTCTTCCGATGTGTACCTGGGCAGGGTTGAGAGCAGGTTTGAGACGTCAAACAGGAATTTTTATCAGCCACATGGACATTGGCAGGTCGCCAAACCTATCGACAGACCAGAGCAGAACCTGCCCAGCCGAGACACCAGCAACGTCACTCAACAGTATGTCTGGCTGCCCTGTGATCGCCAGCTTGCACCCCTCCCAAGTGAAGACTGCAATCTTCTGACCGGTCAGGGTGAGGGTGTCCCCGAGCACCAGCGCCGTCCCAAACACCTCTGCCTCCCCTCGTTTGAGCTGCATAGGTAGTACACCTCAGGGAAGCGATGACTGGCCTGGTATTACGCACTATGGCATGGCCAATGGCTAGATTAATTGCAGCAGTAATCTTGCCAGTGTGGAGGCCAGGACCCACCGTGAGGGTGACACTGTTCTCCCAGCCGACCTCCAGCCGCAGCTCATGCTTCTGCTCAATGTATGTAAGGACACAACTTGGTTGAACAGTGGACACTGTATCCGTGGGCTAATCCACCAAGAACCGCGATGCTGCCGTGCCTCTGTATTTACCGGTGCCAAGTCGTGCTCAGAAGAGGCCACCTCCGCAGACGTCATTGCTCTATGTATACCAGAGAGACTTATTCCAGTACCGACGCAATTATATGCCGATGCTTTATGCTGTCAAATGCAAGAGACCAATGCTGATTTGGGCGAGATGAGCACGCTTGCAGACAGCGTTAACACGACATTGACAGCGGGAAACGGCCTACTCTGTTATAATTTCTATATGAAAGATTAGTTACTAGACAAAACGGCTACCTCATCAAGCGCGCTGTGTTCTTGCCGATAGTTTCTATCGTCCATATGCTGCCCAGGGCGCCATTGCCCCTCTTAAGCACTCAGATCTCAGGAGATATGGGGTAAACTCTGGCGATGCTGGGTCGTTGGGTGAAGCAGATGCGTGGACATCTGATTAAGACTACCTACGCCGCGTGCGGGAATGTGGGGCGAGCTAGAACATCCGGGAGGAGGACACCGCCCACCACTCCCCAGATGATGGTCGAGAATCTCCCAGAAGCTATCGCAACTCGCCTCCATGTCTGATACGCGCGTCCTGAACGTTGTGCAGTCTTTCACTTGACCCTCGATCAAAGATAGAATATCTAAAATTCGGAGCTGGGAATTGAGTGATCCTCTTGAGTCGCAGATCGTGACGTCACTCTCGCAAATCCTTCGTCACAAGTAGTGCACAACCCTCCTGCTGCATAAGCTTCTGTAGCGACCCCACTCCTCCATTGAATACCTGCTCAATCCCCTTCAAGACGTCTGTGAGGGTTCATCCCCAGTTTCAGACACTCGTGTCGTCTCGGGTGTCGACCCCTCCCGACGAGCTCTCGGACCCTCATGACGACGCTATTCCCAATTGCCTGTGCGGCCCCGCACGTCCTGCCTGAGCCAAGGCAGGGCAGCTCTGTCCTTGGAGGACGTCCCTCGGAACAGGAATGGGGAGACATCACGGAGTGTCGCAGGAAGCGTGCCCGAAAGCAGGCAAGTTGGGGACTCTTGAATCTTCTGCAAGGGGAAGGGGTTGGAGCAGCGGCTGAAATGCAAGCACACTCTCTTCATGCGAGCCATATGAGTGAGGCAATGGTGCTCAACGGCATCTGAGTTACCTGCAGGGTCTGGAGCTGGTGAGATGGGCCGACACCACTTTCCCTGCTTCACTGGAGTTTGAGGTTGAGGATGCTCAGCACAGGCTCTCCCACCTCAGCTTCCCGGCACCTGGCGCGGCAGCCTTGGGGCGAGCAGACAGCAGCGCACAGCCTCAGGAGCCCGTCTCCCTCCAGGCTCACGTTGGGCAGGGAAGAAAGCGGGGCCCAGAGGACGACGTCAGACATGCCCAGGCACCCCAGCCGCCAGCGAGGGACTGCAATGCCCGTGCCCAGCTGATGCCGCCACCCCACATGCTCCTGGCCAGCTACCCGGTGCTGAACTGCGGTCCCACACCGGCCTACCACTCCATGGCCATCGTGCCCTTTGACCCCGCCAAGGTAAGGAATCTGCAGAGAGTCTACCACCGGCTTGCTTCTGGGTCGTGTGTCTGATCGATGCTTGATTCACCAGGCTTGCCACTCACTCGGTGATTGTCGTCTCTGGCCCGGCACAGGCAGCGGAAACTGATTCGGAGAAAAGTTTTGAGGGAGGTATGGCTCTTCCAGACGACGACATGATGCAGGAGGGTTGAGCCCTCCTCCCCTTCATGTCTCTTGCCAGCCGAGGCGGCAGTGTGCCCCTTGCCTTTCAATTACCCCCTTCCCCCCTCGTATACAATGACAATCCTGACAAGACTCTGGTGCACATGAAACCCGAGGCATAGCTGGAACGAGAGCAGTCTGAAGGGGTCCGGTTGTGAGTGTGACACACTGGGAGGCAGGCGGTCGCCCCGACCCAGCTGTGTGCTCTTAGCAAGAGGCGCGCACGCCGGGCCGCGCCCTCACCGCCTCGCCGCCTCCTGCCAGACCGGGTCCTCCAGCCGCGCCAGCAGCTCCTCAAAGTCGCGCGGCAGGGCCGCCTGGAAGGCCAGCGCCTCGCCCGTGGCTGGGTGCTTGAAGCCCAGCGTCGCGGCATGCAGCGCGGGGCGGCCCAGCGCGCGCGCCACCGCCGCGCCGCGCTCCGTCAGGAAGCGGCGCCCCCTGCCCAGCGCCGCGCCGCTGGCGCCCGCGCCGCCGCCGTAGGCCTCGTCGCCCAGCAGCGGGCAGCCCAGGTGTCGCGCATGCACCCTGATCTGGTGCGTGCGCCCCGTGCCCAGCCGCCAGCGCGTCAGCGCCGCGCCGCCCCCCGCCAGCTCGCGCTCCACGGCCCAGGTGCTGATGGCCAGGCGGCCGCGCGAGGAGGCCGCGGCAAAGGTGGCCATGCGCATGCGGCTCGCACAGTCGCGCCCGACGTTGGTCTCCAGCCGGCCCCGGGCCGGGTGGGGGGTGTTGAGCGTCACCGACAGGTACAGCCGCTGCACCGTGCGAGCGCGGAACTGGGTGAGGGAGAGTGGGGGGAGGGGGAGAGGGTTCCTGTGGTGGCACTGCTGTTGAGACTGCGGGGGATGCAGTACTCACGGGGCTGGAAGTGGTGGAGGGGCCTTCTGGCCGGTCCCAAGCACGCAGGCGCAGCGCGATGCATCTGGCGGCATCCACAACATGTTCCATCCAAGGCTGACGACGATGGTGAGGAGTAGGAGGCATGCAAAGGCCTCGGGCAGGTCGCGATGGATGCAGGGGGTTGTTCACTGAAAGCACCCATCACCACCCTCCCCACTCGCCTGCTCGACCAGGCCCACTCGTGCCGCCTCTGTCTTGGCGACAACCAGGAGGCCGGTGGTGCCCTTGTCCAGCCGATGCACGATGCCGGGCCGGATGACGCCTGGTTGATGGCTGGTATGTTTTTGCAAAGACACCCCACGTGTGTCTCCGGCACCGTTGCCCCGCAGCGCCCCCCCCCCTTCCCCCAGCGAGGACGCCACCTCGTCCTCCACGTCGCTGTCGTCGTCCTCGTCCTCGTCCTCGGAGTCCTCTGCCGCGCCCGCAGCCCCGCCCAGTAGGGCCGTGGGGGCGGCGTGCCCCGGCTCCAGCTCCATGCCGCGCACGCCGCAGTGGTGCAGCAGCGCGTTGACCAGCGTGCCGTCGGCGTGGCCCGCGGAGGGGTGCACCACGATCCCTGCCGCCTTGTTCAGGACCAGGAGGTGGGCGTCCTCGTACACGACGTCCAGCGGGATGTCCTGGGGCAGGGCGCGGGAGGCAGGGAGCGGGGCCAGCCCGCAGCTGATGACGTCGCCGGCGCGGACGGGGGTGGAGGGCTTGGGCGGGGGCGCGCCGTTGACGCCCACCAGCCCCGACCGGATGCAGGAGACCAGGCGCGCCCGGCTGGCGCCGGGCAGCATCTTGGAGAGGTAGGCGTCCAGGCGCATGCGGCCCTGTGGAAGTGAGGGGGGTGGGGTCGGAGGAACGCATGGGCGTGTGGATGGTAGGAGGGTGGGCTGCGCCACCCATGGAGGACGACGTCCTGCTCCTCCTCTCTGGCCCCAAGCACGCCCACCTGGTCCGCGGACAGGACATCTCTGGGGTGGACCACAAACTCATGGCGTTCCAGGACAGGGCCAGGGTCTGGCTGATCCACCTGAGTGCCGCTGCTGGCATGCCGGCTGGCACCGAGGCCTCGGCCTCTGGCCGTCGCGGATCGCGCCTGCCTCGCCACACATCTCATGCAGCCCAACCTGGGAGCCCATTGCACAGTTAGGGACATTAAGGCGCTGGATGGTGGGCGAGGCGACCGGGTGGGTCTGAAGACGATGGTCCTGGCTCCATGCGCCGGATCGAAACTCGAACTAGTGGCCAGGGGGGGGCGAGGTCTATAGGCCACTGGAACCAGCGGGAACGAGATAAGGCAATAGCATGGCTTTGTACTACATGAATACTGTGAGAGTGCGAATCTGTTGGCCTGTGTGTGGTGTCCACTGCGGGTATGCTCAAGTACGAGGCGAATATCTCGCGCTGTGCATGCTGCAAGCTGCAGCGGATTCCAACACTGCCCAAGGCCCCTAATGCAGACGTAGCACACTGTAGCCTCATTCTGTCCATGATACTGCCACAAGGCATCCTTTGGTGAACATTACAAGGAAATGATTTAGTTGTACAAGCTGCATGAGGCAGCCCTGCCTCCACCACACTGTCATCACATACAGGCATGTTTTTACACAGGGAGGACGCCGACGAGGCGTGCGTCCACGACCTCCAACAGCCCTTGTGCCAGCTGCTCGTCCTCGCCCTCGCTGCCATCCAGGCCTTCCACGGTTTTGGGCTGCAGGGGCGCCCTGCGAACGAGGAACACCCCCGCGACATACAAGAAGGTGCTGACCCAGATCAGGCCCGTGCTAGCGACCATGGTCAGCCGCCAGTCGCCCTTCCACTGCTGCAGGGCGCCCATGAGGGGCGGCGTCGGCACGTCCCCCAGCACGTGCTGCGCCACCTCGCTCGCACTGAGGACAAAGGGCCGCATTTGGGGAGGGCAGCTCCACAGGAGCACGCCCAGGGAGGGTGCCTGGTTGGAGAAGAGCAGGGTGACAGTATTGACTGGGAGCTGCGAGCCACCGTTGTTGATATCCGAGGCGACCCCACCTTCCTGCCCATGGACAGCCCCCTTGCCCATGCCTCACCCCGATGATGAAGAGGAGGAGGTTGCCGGCAGTAAGGGTGATGAAGAAAGCAGGGAGGTTGGACACAAACGCAAAGCCGGCCATCACGATGCTGGAGCCCAGGAAGACGGCCGTGGCACAGACGAGGAGGGCGTTCCTGAGGCTGGCCCCGATGGCATCCAGCAGGAGGCCCCCCACGACAGTGCCCACCGACCCTGGGAAGGTCCAGAGGGCGCAGGGAAAGGGCATTGCAGGAGGGGTATGGCACGATGCAGATGCAGCATATCTGACAGCCATGATGCACCCAAGGCCCTCGGCTGATCAGCCCTATACCGTGCCCAACCAACCTGCCACGAGCGTGACGATCCCGAATCCAATGTCGGCCACCTCGGGGGAGATCTCCAGGATGGCTCGCGCGGCCTTGGGGCCTGCAGGGAGACCAAACAGGTGGGGGGATCTGTCCTGCAGCGTTGCCAGGTAAGCAAGGTTGGAGCCCGCCTTCAATTCCAGCTGTCCTCATGGGTCAGCCGATGCATCACCCTGCACATGCACATCCCCCTACAACAGGACCTACCGTAAAAGGAAAGCGTGCCGAGTGCTCCCACAAAGAGGCACAGCCCCAGGATGGTGAGGCAGGCGATGGGCAAAGAAAGCAGGGCACGGAGGTCCGCCCAGGCCTCATGCCACGCCCCCCTCTGTTCAGCCTGGGCCCTGCTGGGAGCGCTGTGCGCCCTCCGTGGCACGTCGGCGGCGAGGAGGAGGGACAGGGCAAAGGGCAGCATGCCAATTGCCTCGCCTGCCAGCACGGCCCGCCATCCAAACCTCAGGCCGGCCACGCCCCCAACCACAAACCCCAGGGCAAAGCCCAGTGTGATGCATAGGAAGAGGGCCGCCAGCCACAGAGACTTACGCTCCTTGGGAGCCGTGTCGTCTGGACGGGAAGGGGTTGAGCAAAAGGAAAATATTTGGGTATTGAGATCTTGTCTCGTGGGGTAGAGCCAGTAAAATGAAGGGTTCTGATGTGTGGTGGGCGATGAGACAGGCGAGCAATATTCTTGGGTCCAGGATTTGGGATGTTGAGCCCATCTCATACTCGCGGCAGCAACCCCCACCCTGTACTCGACTCCCCTGCCCCTTGCACCTCACCGACCAAGGGGGCGCTCACGGCGATGAAGGGGCCTGTGCCGACCCCCATGAGGACACGGGCCGCCAGCAAGCAGGCATAGTTTGGCGCCAGGGAGCACGCTGCTGCCCCGGCCGCCCACAGCACCATCCCCATGCCGATGAGGCGCAGGTGGTTGTGGGACTTGGCCCATTGCGCGGAGACAGGGGCTGAAAGAGTGATGCCCGCCTGTATGCAGACGCCAGAGGGCAAGGCTCCTGAGTATCAAGATGTCCCACAAACAGGAAACTCTCAGCGCTCAGACTCCTCAGATCGCATGACTCAACACCCACCACGAGAGCAGTTGCAAGGAATCCATCCTTCACGATACTCAAGTCAAAGTCACCCTGAGAGCATGGGGGAGTGGAATGTGGGTCGTGGGGGGGGCCATAGTTGAGCAGTACTGCTCAGTGCACCCCTGGGGTTGTGCATTGCCTGCCTCTTCAAACCCATGCAAGTCCTGCCTGAATGCCGAAGCCGGGGCGTTCGGTAGTGGACTGGGCTCCATTTACTCCATTAGAGGCGATAGCTCCCTTGTCAAAGTAGATGACCACCGTCAAGGTGCAGAGGAGGAGGAGCAGGCGGAAAGGGGAGAGCAACTGGTCTGCAGGTGCCGGCAAGTGATCCGACATGCTGCAGCTCGCCCACTGCCCGCTGGGCAGTTGTTTAGTGCCGTGGTACCCTTTATTGTGGCGAATACAGGCAGCCGACAGCCGTTTCGAGGACTAGCGGTGCAGACCGCCCGGTCAATATTCGAGCAGCGGCCTCTGAGTTTGGGACCACAATCTACCCCTTGGGCAACGACCAATCCCTTCCTGTAATCTGATCGGGGCGATACAATGGACACAATGTCGATTTTGGTCTATGGATTGCGCAGTGCAATGCGCTTCTGTTTGGGACAAAGCATGCAAGGGGACTACAGCTTCGTACAACTGCAACCCACCATGGACGAAAGCACGAGTCCTTCCCCCTGTCGTCTCTTGCTTCTCCAATGTGGCAACCGACAAGTATCATCAGGAGATATAGCATCTGATTTGATGACCACATCTGGTTTGCTGTCACAAGATTCCCCCGTGCATGGGGCGCAATGCACAGCACATGCAAAAACACCCCTCTCATGTTGTACACTCTCACAGACAACTCAGAAGTCTAGAGAGGCGGTTACGCCCTGCGGGGCAGCACAGAGAGAAGTTGCAGTGGATCTCAAGGCTGAGGTCCCTTGTGCTTCATCCAAGTCCAGAGTAGGGTCGAGCTCCACTGGTCGAATGGAGAGCCTTCGGCGGAGGTGCCTGTGTGGAGGGTGCAGCTCACATGATCCAAGATGAATTGTGCTCTGTATACCAAGATCTGCATGTTCCCCGCCAACACAAGAAAAGACACGCTATCTAACCCAAAGCACCGACCTGATGAGGTGCAGGGGGGCGTCGGGGACCGGCGGCTGCAGGGCCGAACCCAGCGGAAGCCGCCTGACGCACAGCAGGCCCGCAATGGAGCCGGGGTCAGGGACCATGCGCACCAGCTCAGCGTCGCTGGCCACGGTTTCCAGCGCCAGCACAGCGTCCGCAGCATGCTGCGCCTGGGCGAGCACGGCCGGCGCCAGGCCTGCCGGCGACAGCGTGACCAGCGCCACCGCGGCCGCAGCGCGCACCCGGGCACGGATGCCTGACAACAAGGGGGCCAGGCCCGCCTCGGCACCTTCCGGCCAGCTGCCTCCGGCCAGTCCCGTGAAGACCAGGCGCCCCACGGCCTCCGCGCTGCGCGGGGGCAAGGGGGCGCGGGGCGCCGTTGGGGTGCTTGGGGCGGGCAGGGCTAGAGGCGCGCCGCTCGGGGTGGGGGTCGCCAGGCCTGACGCACTGCACTCCCCTCCCGGCGGCGCAGGGCCAGTGCCGGTCGGCCTGCCGGGAGCAGGTGCCGCGGACGCGTCGCGCAGGCCGGCAACGAAGCTTCCAGCCTCCCTGAGCAATGCACGAGCGGGGTCGACGGGCTCATGGGTGCCTGCCGCTGTGCCTTCCTCGCAGCACAGACTCACGACGCGGTGCCTGTGGGCATCCAGCACCTCGGCGCCCGCTGCTTTCCTGAGGTCAAAGGCGGTGGCCCAGGGCCGGGGCTTGCTGGGAGGGGCTGCCCTGCCTGCCGTGGCAATGCCGCCGCTGCTGGATGGCCCCAATCCGCTCCCGCGTCCCACCGCCGTCCCAATACCCTCCTGCTGCTGCTGGGCCTTGGTGATGTACCGTCGGTACTGCCAGGCGATGCGCAGGCCGGCATCGCCCTCCGCTTCGACGCCCGGCGGCTCCTGCAGGGGACGCGGGGATGCGGGGGAGTGGTCAGGTGTCGGGCCAACGTGAGGCGGCTGTCAGGTAATCAACAACATGGCAAGTTGTGGTCCACAGCTATGTTCACGCCCAAACATGCCGGGTTCTACAACGCTTGCCTTGTCCTTGGTCTGAAGCTGAGCGGGCAGCCAGGCAGCCAGGGATGGGGCTGGCCCTTGCTCTCCGTGGCCCAGCAGCACGCTCTGTGTGGTGATGGAATTTATCATGTTGCGGCAGTCATGCGGCGGGATCTCTGGAGCAGCACAGCCTACCCAGATGCCAGGCGCCCACCCATGGCCACCTGTCCACTGACGACGCCTTCTGCAAGGAAGTATTGCACCAGTAAGTGATGTAGGTGGGTGGAACCATCTTCTAGCAACAGGATCAAGGAGCCCAGGGGGTAGCCACCTCCAAAGATGGCATCCACATCTGCCAAGCCGCTTGATATGACTGTCTGACCATGCTGACCGGGACGGGTGCGTGGATCTGCGCAAGGGCGAAAATTGCTCAGGTAATGTGGGTCTCCCATGAAATGCAGCCATGGGATGTGCAAGGAATAGCACGGACTCATATGGCACCCAGGGCGCCACCCGTGCTCACCCGATACTGCAACTGCTCCTTTGCGCTGGAATGATGACCCAGGTGGCATCGACTCCTACGCTGTAAGTAAGATTCTTTTGATATGCAATCTAATGCAAATTTCTCGATGTGTGCTGGAGGTTTGGCCAATCTCTTAAGAAGAGCCTGAAGTGAGGCTACATCTGTGGGGTTTGGGGGCGCGTGCGCTCGCTTTCTCCGTCGTTCCCGGCCGACGCGTCGAGTTAAAATTTGAGCTGCCTAGAATGGTGTACGCACCACCAGGAACGAGATCTTATTTCTCTTCCACCAGTTTGTGAGAGAATTTCGTGGACTCGCCGCCGAATCTCCAAGATCCGCGTCCCCTCATCAGGTGCGCTGCTGGTATTGACACCCCTTGCGCGGCGGGCACATCGGGCCTTTTCCAGCTTGGTTGGAGTGCAGATTTCCAGAAGGGATCGTATGAGTACTTCTGAGAGCTCGTCTGTGAAGCGAGGGCCCGGAGCTTTTCCCCCGTCTGCGTAAGCCTTGGCCGGACCCTCCTGCTTTGTTAGGAAGGGTTTCCTCTGTCACACACAGGATGATGAGCTTCGGTGCCTTCCTGATCATCGCCCTGGCGGCGACGGCGTCCGCTGTTGAGGAGGAGTTCCCCGTGCTGTACGAGCTGGAGCGTGAGTGGATGCCGGACGGGGTTGCCGTGTTCGTCCGGATTCCGTGTCGCTGGGCATGTGCATGCGATCAGTCAAATATCAAGGTCAAACTCTGGTGAACTCACTCTCCAGCTTGCCCTCAACCCTCCTCCCCTGCACACATTCGCAGCACTGTACAATGTGTTGAACATAACTGGCTGGAGCAGCTACCCAGACTGCTGGATTTTCCCCCAGCCTGCGATCACTCTCGTGTACGAGGACGCCACCTACCAGATTGCCACGACCGCTGATGAGGAGGACAAGACCAAGGGCAAGCTGGTGGCCAACGCCTGGTGCCAGTGAGCAGCTTGTTAGAGGGGTCCAGAGAGTGGCTAGGACCAGGCCAATTGCCGCTGCACACATAATTACATGTTGCGTTCAGCCCACAACCTTCAAGCTACGTCCTGCATGGAGCAGCTAGAGCATTTCACTCTCCCAAACTGAATGCTCACCACCTGGATCTGGTTCCCTCCTTCCTTCCAGGCGCCAGGGCCTCGAGAAGGCTGCCAGCTTCCAGCTCAGCGACTTCTCTGCGGGCACCGTCGTCCGCTCGCTGCAGATCGGATCTGGTGGGTTGTGCTTCTGGCGGGCTGTGTGAGGAAACCCTCCTCGGGTGGGGAACCCCTCCCTGCAGGGACCAACAGCCGAGTCATGTTCAATCATGTTCTGAACCCAGGTGACATCTGCAAGGGCACCCCCGGCAAGTGTACCGGTTTCAAGTTCATCGAGTGCGTCAGGGGCACCGCGAAGGCGGGCTGCGGCAAGAAGCTGCACCAGCTGAGTGGAACCGACAACAATGGGTAAGGAGGGGAGGGCTGGGCAGCTGTCTTGGTACGATATTGGATGCTAAACTGGGCGGTGGCGACATCCTGAAGCCACTCATGACACCTGGGTTCTCAGTATCTCTCAACAACCCCTGATAACCCCCACACTCCTGCAGCTTCGGCAACATCGGCAACTCCAACGTCGGCAACTTCAACAACGGCTCTGGTACGCTGCCTATGATCAAATGAGTGGCAGGAGTAGAGTGCTGTGCACTGTCTTGCTGCCCTGCTGCAAATCAGCGTCCCAGGCTGACTCAGCTCACCCACAATTTCTCCCACCCAACTTGCGCAGCCAACGTGGGCGACTTCAACCTCGGCTCTGGTGAGTGGCCTTGAGCTGGACTGGCTTGGGCCCAGGAAATCGGAAAGGGGGTATGCCCCTGTCTTCTTGCCCAGCGAATCTTCTGCTTTCGATGGTGCACTCGTGATGCACCGATGTTGCTCACCAGCATCTTCTCTCCCCTTTCTTACTTGCCTCGCAGCCAACGTCGGCAGCATGAACACCGGCTCCGCGGATGTGGGCAGCTACCTCACCTGCTCCGCCTGCAAGGATGCCGAGTCCTCCAAGCTGTAGGCGCCCCCGCCGTGCCCCTTCCTGCCTCGTGGAAAACGAGGTCGGCATATGTAACAAGCCGCACCAGTGTCATAATTCAATCTACCTGGCCCTGTGCCTGCCCCTCTCCTCGAGAGTGCGGGTTCCCTCCGCGCCCTGCCCATCCCTTGATAGTCCCTTCCCTCGACCCCGTGTAACAGCTTTTTGTTGCACAACGTTCCAGCTGGCATGCCCAGGCTCGAGGTGGGTGAGGTCGCCGGAGGGGCAGCCCTCCATCCGGCTTCCCACATGCTCCTGTGCACCCGCCCTCCAGCCCTGCAGCACGCCGCGACTACACCAGGGGCATGCCCACGCTGTGGCCGCTGCGCAGGCTCCTCGCCACGGCGGTGGTGAACTCCATGTAGCGGGCGGCGGTGGGGAAGTCGGTCAGGCGCACCCGCTCCTTCCCCCGGATGGCCCCCACAAACTCCTCCTCCACCCGCCATGCCCCGGGGTGCGCCAGGGGCACCGGCTGGGGCGCCCCCCCCTCCACGTCCGGCCGGCTCAGGGTCAGGGCGCCGGCGGCGAGGTCCAGGTGCAGCGCCCCCTGAGACCCATGCAGCCAGAACTCCAGGGCGGGGCGGTCGCTGCCGCCCGCCACGGCGCTGAGGAGGAGGTGGGCCTGGGCGCCGCAGGCCATGCGGGCCAGGACGTCCAGGTGGTCTGGAACCTCCACGCTGCGCAGCGCTGACGTGGCGGGGTCTGTGCGCCACTTGACCACGGTTTGGCCCATCGCCACGACGCTGCTGGCGTGGCCGACCCACCTGTACACTGTCGGGTGCGTGTTGAGTCCAGGGTGCTTGTGCACAGCTCAGAGGGGCTGGGAAAGGGTGCGGCCCCCCGTGGCACAGTTCGGAGAGCACGCCGGCGCGCGGCGACCGCTCACCTGGCCAGGGCCTCGTACATGATGCCCAGGAAGAGGATGTTGTCCCCGGACAGCTCTGCGTCCTGGCGGAATGTCATGGGGGCGCCGTTAGCCTCGGGCCAGCCCGCCACCCCCCTCACCGTGATGTAGGTCAGCTGCCCCAGGACCCCAGACCTGTGAGAGTGAGTGGTGATTGTGGAGAAGCCCGTGAGAGGAACGCCGAGGGCCCCCTGCATGGGCACCTTGCACTTCAAAATAGAATGTGGACACTTCTGAAAGAATACTTTCTCACCTCTCACCCCCACCCTGTCACACCGGGAGGACTTACTTGATTGTTTCCTGGATGGCGGCATCATAGCGAAGGGTTAGGGGCGACGGGACGATCTGCGCAACCTGGGGTGGGCGCCTGCGCGATTCATCCAGCATCTCCAGTGCCTCTCCCCAGTTCAGGGCCTGGGAGATTGGATCTGGTAAGGCTGTCAAGGTCTAGTCCAGCATTATGAGTAGGCTCCCTTACTCTACAACTGTGGACATTTCACGGCTCACCATCCTGGCTTCGCAGAGCACGTGTTTCCCAGCTTGTAGTGCTGCCAGCACCAAGGGTTTGTGCATGTTTGGCCATGTCCCGATGACGATGGCATCCAAGGTGGGGTCCATTATTACAGATGTCCAGTCAGCCACCGCCTGGTGTGGAGAGGGGTGCGATCAGGTGACGATCGCGCACGGTCTGCTGGTTACGATTGGTCAAGACACATCTCTGACACCGCTGACAACAGACCCAACTTGCGAAACCCAAGCATGTGGCTTGCCACCTTTGGGATGCCAAATTCCTTGGCTACAGCCTGAGCGCTCTCGACTGTCCGATTACAGACGACCTCAACCGTCACCCCGGCATGCTTTTGCAGATTCGGGATGTGATACAGCTTGGTATTGCTGCCGGCACCGATCACGCCCACTCGAATGGGGTCCGGTGATGCTGCGGTCGTCATGGATCCCTGTTATTACTCAGATTGCAGCCCAAATGGGCTTGTGCACAGGTTCGCAGAGTAGGACAGCGAAAGTTCAATACAAACGAAGGGTCATGAAGGGTTTCCTTCTCTTTAAGCTTGGGGTTTATGTGATCAAGCTGTATGTCCCGACGATCACCCCGGTTCGCATTCCTGTCCCTGTTAGGCATAGCTCGATCGACAAGGTCCCAGCATCTCATTTCACGGAAGCAATAGTATGCACTCTTGTGGTATCCTACTACAGGCAGGCCCTAGAGGGCTACAATCCATGGGTGCATACGTGCAATGCTTTTGCAGGCATATCGAATGTGAAGAGAAGGGCGACATCAAGGCAAAGCTTGCGTCAGAGGACCTCAACTGCTGCTGCAAATGGTGCATCTCATCAAGGGTCATTCCTGCGAGCCTGAATGCAACAGTGACACGTCTTCTCCCGGATATCCTACAATCTGGTCAGCTGAAGCCCGCTGAAGCTCCCGCCTGCCGCATTACCTCCCAGATGTGAGGCCCACATGATCGCGCATGATGGCCCAGATCTTGTGAGGGTACTGGCCATGCATGGGGACGAACACCCAGCCCAGCATGAGATGACACCCCATGCATGCCGTGGTCAGCCAGCCCTGTGCATGAGGTGGCACAAGAGGGTGAGCAACGGTGTATGTTAAGCTAGGGGGCTGGCACAGACCTGTGGGTATTTGTTGTCTGTGCCGGCCAGTATGTTATGGGCCACAGTGCAGCAGCACCTACGCCCCCCATGCGACCGGGGTTTGCCTCCTCCTTGAAAACTCAGGCAGGGACTCACATAGCCAGGGAGCCAGGAGTGCAGTCCGGATCCCAGCGGCCCATTCCATCCCGTGGAGGGTCGTTCTGCCATCATGAAGATCACCTGCGTGAAGGGGAGGTGTGGGCAGAGATCGTCAGGTACACTATTGAAGGGTGGCTGTGGGGCTGCCTCGCCGATGGCACGGCTCCCTGTGCAGAGATGAAACCTGCACACAGGTGATGCCACAGCTCGGTCCTGCCTGAGCGTTCAGCACGCCATGTCCCCAATGGCGTGACAGCTGCGATCCCGGTGCAGGGCCCACCGCATCAACGCCCGTCCAACTTGCCGGTATGTGCATGCAGTGAGGATTGACAAATCTGTGCGTGATACCATCCGAGCTGAGTTCCACCAGCTGGACATTCCTCTCCAGCTGCGCAAGAAACATGGGGTGTGGGTCTGTCTACCAGCCCCCATCCACTGCCCCGCCGTCCGAGTCGGCAAAGGGCGACGGGCATGCAAGGGTCATCGCCCCAGGTCCACCGCACAGAACAATCGCCAGCTCACTCTGTGCCCGCACCGGGCGCAGCGGACAGCCCCCATTCTGCCCAGCGCCTCGGCAGCAATCTCCAGCCGCTCCGAAGCTTCAGTGGCGATGGTGGGTCGGTACTTACTCAACGGCAACATGGGAAAGCTGCAACAGGACCAGGGAATATCCGCCTGGCAACAGGCAGTACCCCTCCACACACCTCAGCTCCTGCCACTCACTGGTCTGGGCAGTGAACATCTTGACCTGGTCTATCCAGCTGATCGGCATGTTGTTGGCCAACCAGTTTGCAATGTAGCTGGCCGGGTCTCCCACTCGCACACCCCTGATTCCCTGCACAGCGAGAGGGAGGGCAAGGGAAGGGCGTAGGCGCTGGGGCCTTGGCCCTCCACGCAGCACCTGCCCGTAATCCTGCCCCCACTTGTGACGCGACAGAAGGGGTCCCTGCAGGGTTGTGCTCTGAACTGATCTCGCACCAGCATCCCTCCCACCCTCGTCTTCCATTCATTGCACTCACCCGGGGGACGAGCCTCTGTGCCAGCTCCAGGGCCCTTTCTGCCAGGAGATCCTCACCGCGGTTGAAGGCGAAGAGGCTGGGGTGCCAGGGCGTCAGGCCCTCTGCCACCTCCCTCGGCACGCAGACGTCGTCAGGGAGTGGCAGGACAGACCTGCACGGCTGAGCCTGGTAATCCCCCGGCTTTGCCAACACCATGCAGCGCTGCAGGGCTGGACAGGGAGGTGGCAGGGGGTGGCGGTCGCAAGGGCCGGGAGCGACACACAAGCTGCCGCTCCCTGTGGTTTCCGCGTCGCGCCAAAATCACCCTACAAGGTCCAAGACGGGGTCTTGCAGAGAAACAAACCCTGCTGCCTGAGCCCTGCCCTCACCTCTGAAAATACCGCTTGCCGCCCCCTCCCTCCTCCGTTCGATGCAAACGATGCAGCCATACGGCGACTGCCTAGCCGGGCCAGGGTCTGGGTGCTGTACCGGGGCGCTGCCGCTTCCCTGCACGCCCAGGGAGCAAGCTCTGGCTCTTGCAAAGCGTGTGCCCTGCCTGCCAGCCTGCACCGCTCCCGGAGTCACTGCCATGCAAGATTGCTCACCACCACGAGGAGGCCAGTCAAGGGCGGCGGCTGCTCCAGGGCTTGCTGCATGATTCGGACCTGTCGAGCCTCGAATGTAAAACCCATGCGGGCGCCCGGGAACATTAGGCAGTCCGTCTCTGGTGTGTTGTGGCATGTGGCAGAGATGTCACGACCGGTGTGTCCCATGTTGGTTTGTGGCGGATGAGTGAAGCAAGCCGACCCCAACTGGCATACATCGTGGCGCGGCCCCCCAGCAAGCCATAGCCGGCACGCACCACATCTGAAATAGGGCAGCTCGAACTCGCGGTTCGGGAGGAGAGGTCCCTCGCACACCTGATCTTGAAGCTCTGGGGTGAAGCACATCCGGAGGTGTCATGGCAGGATGAAGACATGGGGGGCAAGCCTGTTGAGCACCCGTCAAACGACCCGCGCCAGAGCATGCGCATGCAGGATTGCGCGAATGAGGAGCAAGATGTTGCCTCATGCACCCACTCTGCCCACCTCCGAGGTACCCATGAAGAGGGATCTCCTCCCAGAGTCGCTCCAGCGCGTCCTTCTCCCACATGAGGATTTCGTCGGGGACATTTTCTGCTGTCGCCGATACATCCTCCTCCTCGACATCCGCCTCAGATGCCATTCCAGATGTCTGTTGGGTAGTATGTGTAGATCTATGACCTCGATGCTTTGATCGCATTACCCTGACTGCTCCTGGACTGATCATGCCCATGGGCGAGGAGGTTAGTGATTTCCATCACAGCCCTGTTCAGCACACCAGGTTCGATATTCTGTCTGACACCGACTTTGTCAATATTAAATATGGCATTCGACACGTACACAGACCTGACTGGACCAGCAACAAGGGTGGGTGGGAAGGGGACTCAAGGCGCGCAATGTGCAACGAGGGTTTGCCTGTCATGCACAGCACACTCCCGTTGGCGTAGCCGTCAGCACCAGATCATCCTCTCCTTGCCGATTGGATACAAGATGCCATGGAGCATCAGTGTGAGCACCTTACCCTGGACCATCTGTAGTACATGTTGCACATGGACAGAGTCAGGTCACGCAGATTACCTCAGACCTGTCAGGCTGAGTGCCCTGATCCCTTGCCTCGCAAGCAGTACCCCCGGCCCCATCTCACGATGATCCCGTGCGCTCACGGCACAGAGCTCCCAATCATCCAGAGGCATGACGAGTCTCAATGCTAGCTGAGGGAACTCATGTAAGGTATCTGTGCGATTCACTTTAAAACTTGACCAGCAAGATCTCAATTCCACCTGCGAGCATCCTCGTCTGCATCCACGGCTGTGTACCACTCCGGCAGGTTGGGCAAGTTGGGGTTCAGTCGGTAGTTCAGAAATAGCTCCTCTTCAGCAATGTCCCGCAGGGCAACAAGTGCCAGGCCAGGCACCGAGCCAAGTGTCTGTAGTGCTGGGCGGGAGGTGTACTCAATGTTGGGGATGTATGCTCGAAGATGAGACTGTGACCCTGCTAGGGAGGTGAGCATGAAGAACGGAAGATTAAAGGACTCGGTGAAGCTGTGTCCCGGTACTTGCTGTCAGTCATCCAGACAGCACAGCTCAGCAGCCTGGTGTCAGGCCGGGCGGTGAATGCCAGTGACTTCAAGGACCGTCACCCCTTTCTGAGGCAGGGCTCTCCCATTCCAGCCCCGTAAGATTGCCATTGCCAGACTAGCCTCACCTGGGGTATGCCAGTCAAAACTTGCAACAGCAACATTCGGCAGGGTGCCTGCTGGGGGATGATTTACCAGGTGCCCGGCCGCGAGGTTGTTCACACCCTGCGCGGATGTGGGGGAGGGTTCGACGATGACAGTTTGACAAGGGAATTGTGGGTAAGAGCCACAATGCCGAAAGATCAGGCCTTGGATTGCCTGATCATGCACCTGGGTATGTCGGACACTCCAGGGAATAATACCATTGAGAAACAGGCATGCCCCCGCCCTCCCCCTCCCCCATCCTAATGGCAACTCCCAGGTCTTGCCTCTAGGCAGCCAAGTGCCTCCTCAGCGAGGTTGTGAGGCGGGAGGGGGGGCCACCGTCTTTCAAGCGCAGCCCCAAGGCCCCATGGCTTGCCGTCCAGCGCCACACCGTCAAAGCGTGAGAGGAGGAATTCGTTGTCCCGACCCACCATTGGGTAGCCAGGAATTGCACGATGATGAAGCGGCCTGTACGCTACGCCGGGATACAGCGCCACTATCTGAGGGGACCAAGGTTGTGAGGGATATTTGCATTGAAGGGTGGCCGCCTCGGATCGAACATGCCGGCGAGACCACCGCATTGGCGGCTGAAGCTACGCTAAGCAACAAATATTCAGGAAGAATGACCGCTCCGCCATTGTATTTGAATCTGTAAGGAAGAAAGTAGTGACAGGACCCATTGGGGAACCCTACCATGCACACAGGCATCTGCAATACACTCTTTCTCTCAGCCATCAACAGCAGGTGATTACCTGTCCCGTGGCAGCATGGCCACGCAGCCACACGCCTCGGCCCGCGGATGCATGCTGGATGCTGCTGGGAGCAATGTCCAGCGCAAATGTGGGAGTCGGAGGGTCAAGGATGGGGGAGGGGGGTCCTTGTGTATGCTCATGCGGCTGGGCATCATGACTGAGGGAGCCCAGACCAAATCTCTTGGGCCTTCCTGCGCCAGATCCTTGTTCTTGTGGCAAGCTCAGCCTGGCTGCTGCCGCAGAGTCGGGGTTTATAGCATGCAGGCCTGCTGTCAGTGTCTCTAGCTGTGTCTGGAGATTGTCAGCCACTGCCCTACGCATGCCCTGAGGACAAGGCAGAGGTGTGTCAGGTAGTGGAGAGGGAAGACGACCCACAGTCTTCTATATCACAAAATCAGGCGGAAAATATGGAAACCATCCTTCACCATACTAACACTCCGGCAGGTCCAGCGTCCTCACCTCAAAGGCAAGTGCGGTGCCCCGACGGGCCAGCTCCTCGGCGTAAGCCTCTGGGGATGCACCTGTGGAAGGCCATGCAAAACTGGACTCCTTTACGAGAGACTGCTTATGGGAAATGCGGCGGCAGGCCCTCGACAAAGTGTCATGAATCACGTTCACGAGTAATTGCGGGCAAACATGGCTCTTTTGCTGACCTTGGAGGTCTGGTGATCGGTAGTGGGTCGTGAGGAGAAAGAGTCTCTGTGTGTCGAGCTCTAGCTGCAGCTTGCGGTTGTCGAGTCGACGAGAAATGGCGGTCACCGACAACCCGTCCAGGAACTGCGGTGAGGAATGTGAAGTGAAGCATCTTTGCACAAGGTGATGGTTAAAATACAATGTTGGGTGTATGCCCTGAAAGCCCGTCGCTCACCGAGGCCACTGCCTTCCATGCCATCGTCCTCTTGTTAGACTGAATGTGGGATTAATTTGAACATGGCAACATATGCGTGAATGATGCAACGAATTCCAGAACTCCTTGCATCAAGCTGACCTGGCGATTAATCTGTCCCGGGCGGGCATCGCCTGGGAGCGGAGAGATACGCAATGCTGTCCATCGGAACGCGGGTCCGGAAGCCTGAACAAATTTGCACAGAGCATGATGACATCTGTAACAGGCACCCTCCGTGCCTGGTCGAAATTTGGGATTGCCTTTGTCGGGTCTGTCGCCGACGCCAGCTCCACGTACCTTGGCGCATCACAGTCGACCAAAACGTCTTGCTGACTCACAGCGACCTCTGCAAGTCACCCCCTCCCCATTGGCCTTATTCTGCGCCCACATCCCTTAGGGCTCCACATCTTAATACAAAATGTTGTCGTGCGCCACAGCGACCTTTGACACTGGACTGAAGTCCCTCTTGGCCCGGACTGGCCCCCACTTTGTCCACTTCCAAGGTGCTCAGGAGCCATTCTCCCGACGTAAGAACTAAGGGCTCCCTTCAACGAAATTCACGCTCGACCATCTTTAAACATAGGCTCGTGGTGTGGTGACTGTCTCCGGACCAATAAGGGAGTGGAGCAGGCTGTGAGCAAGTCCGGAGGAGCGCTGTTGCGTGTGGCAGTGGGTGACAAGCCTGAGTGGAGGTCCCCAGATCATGCCCTCCGCCAGGATAGCCGTACCAAACTGCGCGTCATCCCCACGCTCATCCACTGGACGGAAGGGGGGCCTGGCGCCCGTCTCGGTGGGTACCTTGTCTGGCCGCCATGTGCGCGCGTAGTGACCACGACTTATTGGTTGCTCCCTTCATCAGCCACCTTTCCCCTGAACTCCCATCTTGCAGAGAGCGAGCTTGAAAGTGCCCCCACCGAGGCTGAGGCTGAGAAGGTCACCCTGGCCTTCATTGAGCAATGCAGGTCGTGAGGCCCTGTGCAAACCAGACACCTTAGTCGTGCTCCAAATTCCCTTCTCTTCTTCAATCTGGGAGCCACATGTGGCATTTACAGCAAGTACCTTGTACGCAGTCTAGGACGGGATGTTTATCCACGAGCGCGAATTTGCTGCAGCAAACGGGAGGAGAGAAGTGATCAGTGACAGGCTGGCATGAATGGACAGCAGAGTAGGGGACAGAGGAGCGCAATCCTCCCCCGAAAGACAGTCCAGGTGCTTGGAACACTGTCATACACATTTTAGCCCCACCGAAAGGTCTCGCAACCCTACCTGCCACTGGCATGCAATCTGCAAGAGTTGGTTTAGTGGAGTGGTGTGATTGAGTGCTTGGTCACACTCGCATCCGCAAAATCCTCAGCAGCATGCCGGAAGCCCACTACCCTGCTTCCAATCACCCCAGCCCATATCGCGCGTGAGTCACTGGACGTGTGCTCCCCACGACTCACCACTGGGAGCGCGATGCCGAGGGCCACAACACCACCCACGCTGAGACCAAACTTCAGTTTGCGGTTCTTCATCTGTGGTTGAGGAACAGGCAGAACTGTTGGGATTCATCATGTTGAGAGGTATCACAGAGAGACCACCGCCCCAATAGCCACGTTGTAGAGCGCGCTGCATCCTGCTGTCACGTACACCCTCCCTCTGATGACTCACGGCGGGCAGGTTGTACATAGAGGGGGCATGGACGTAGTCGGGCTCGTGCTGCGCAGGGGGCGGGAAGAGGCTGAACAACTGTGACCCCGCCACGCGACAGATTCAACATCTGACGACCGATACCCAGACGTACGTGACCTCCGGAAGCGGCCTTGGAGCTAGATGTGAAGGAGCGGACCGCGCGCGAGGCGGTCCTGGCGACCTTGGCAGCACCCGACATTCTCCGGTAGACTAGCCCCTAGCACAAAAGTTTGGCAGCAGATTTCCGAGTTTCTCTAAAGGTTTCCCACAACAGTGGGAGGAAGGCAGAGTGGGAAAGATTTTCGAGGGCACGGAGTACGTCATCCTTTCCAGCAACATGCACGCAAGTGGATCTGGCATGTGGTACTTGCATCAATAAATCTTGAGGACATATGGGAACTCCATGGATGACCTGCTTCTAACACCGAGTGAAGGTCCACTTACATGATTTTGGCGCTCAAAATCAATGTTTGGACTCGCAAAGAGCATTCCGTTGGCGATCACACAATATTTTCGTCGACCTAGGCGAACATCGCTGTGAAATCCAGCTGTGATCCGTCTGCGCTCGTCGTCCCTCCCTGTAATCATGGCGTCCCCCAATCCCCTGCTGGTGGTGGAGCTTCAGGGACCAGATGGATCCAGCGCCAAGATTCACGCACAAGGAGCCACCCTGACCTCGTGGATCACGCCAGACGGAGTAGTGAGTGTGATATCTGCGTAAGGAGTGTTTGGGCGACGGTGAATGATGTAGTGAGGGGCAAGCAAAATCAAGTAAGGTGGACGGCCACCACTTGTTTGACTCAAGGGTCATATTCAGGTGGCTCCTCCATGCAAATTAGATGCCTACCTTGCACCCCTCCCTGATCGTGCATTCAATCCCTTACCTCAGCCATCTCACGACATGCATATCTTTGAACACTGTCTGCTGCCACACAGCATCTCCTGCACCCCCCGCAGGAGAGGCTTTTTGTCAGCAGCAAGGCCAAGTACCAGGCGGGTTCAGCCATTCGTGGGGGTGTTCCCATCTGTTGGCCCCAGTTTGCGATGCGGGGACCGCTTACCCAGCAGCATGGATTCGCACGAACATCCACATGGACCCTTGCCAGCTGCGAGTCCGCTTCCGTGGTCTTCTCCCTGGACGAGACGTCCGCGGCACTTCCTGCCGGCTGGACATCTGCCTTCCACCTGGAGATGGAGGTGTGTGTGCGCCTGGTTGTTATCTGGTGTGCGTGAGAACCTTGGTTTGCACACTCTGCGAACAAAAGTGTTCAGGTGCGATGGGGAGTTCACAGAGGCGTGTCACACTCCTTGGTCATGCGAAGCTGATGGAACTCCTTCTTGGACTCTCTGCCATGCAAGCTGGAGCATGCCATCTGAGCAGTCATGCGTGCATGCACCCACGCCTACCCACCAGCACCCTCCCTGCCCCTTGTCCAGGTCAGACTGGGGCATGAGACCATGACCCAGGAGCTGAGAGTCACGAATCGCGGCGACTCAAACCTCCCCTTCACCACCGCCCTGCACACCTACCTTGCCGTGCGCGACATCAGAGCCACGGGGTTGCGGGGCCTCAGGGCCCTCCTGTACCAGGACAACACGCGCCCGGGCCAGGCCCTCACCGAGGAGGAGGAGGAGGTCGTCAGGATCCAGTCCGAGGTGGGTTTTTGTGCATCAGTGGGATGTGGAGTGAGCACCTCCCTACACTTCACATGCCCTTTCCTGCGAGCCCTCAGCTGGACAATCTCTGCACACCCCGCCGGTCCAACGTGTGGCCCATCCAAGCTGCTGGTGCACATGCAACCCCGAGCGGTCTCGCCGCCCAAGCTGCCCATCACCCTTCCCACCAGTCCTCCCCCCTGCCAGGTGGACAGGCTGTATGTCCAGGCCCCCGACCGGCTGGTCCTGGAGGATGGGGCTGATGGCCGCCGCACCCTGACGCTGGCCAAGCAGGGCTTCCCCGACGTCGTGGTGTGGAACCCGGATGGGGCCAAGGCCTCGGGCATGGCGGACCTCAGCGACTGGCACGGTTTCTTGTGCATCGAGGTGGCGCATGCCGCCCGGGACCCTGTTATTTTGAAGCCGGGGGAGACGTGGGCCGGGCGCCAGATCCTCGGCGCGGAAGGGTGAGGGCAGGCACTGCCTGATCGACCGGTGTGAAGGAGAGCTTGGGAGAGTGTCTCTTGGTGGACACACAGGGAACAGAGCATCCCATGCTGTGGGGGATCGACGCTGGGGCCTGTGTCTTGGCTCAGAAGTGCGGCGGTGGATCGCCCCTTTCGCCCATTCCCCTCCCACCACATGCCAGGTGTGCTCTGTGTACAGTCCCGCCTCCTCAGGGAGTCGGGGATCAAGCAAAGTGAAAGCCAGTGCTTGGATAAAGGTGCAGGGGAAGGCGAGGCGTGTCCGGAAGACGCACCCTGGCAAGGGGCTAACGGGGTGGGACACCCCAGCAAGCACTCTGCCGCAAACACCACAGCCCACCCCCAGACGCTCCAGGAAACGAAATGAATGCTTCATACAAATAATATGAGGGGGGCTGGGGAAACAAATCCCCGTAATGAAGAGAGCTCTGTGTTGGGGGCTGGGGTAGCGTGGGCACGCGAGAGGATGTAGCCGCCAGGCTTCGTTATCGCCTTGGACAGCTTCTGGGGCCCTGAGCGAGATCCTGGCCCATGCGCCACCCCGCCAGGCGGCGGTCGTCCCGGGTTGGGCGCCGCTGCGTACCCCCGCTCACCATTGCTCTGCTGTGGACTGCCCAGCGCCCTCCCAGACTCCTCTCCCCTCCTTCACATGCTGTCCGGCAGCAGCTTGCGCTGGGCCTCCAGGAAGGCGTCGGGCCTCTCCGCTTCGGCGTCAAAGGGCCGGTAGTTGTTGGCCTCGTCGTACTCATGCAGCTCGGTGAAGATGTTCTTCATCATGCGCCAGTTGAACCGCGCCTCGGTCATGTACTGGCCCCAGTTGGTTCGCAGGGACTCGTTGGCGGCGCGCAGGTTGTACCAGGGGATCTTGGAGTTCACGTGGTGAGGGACGTGCACCGAGATGTCGTGGCACAGGAACTCCACCAGCCAGGGGTAGTCGCAGTGCACCGTGCCCGCCAGCTGGGCCTGGGCCGCATTCCAGCTCTCCGCGGGCTTGAAGGGGATGTGCTGCGCAGTGTGGTGCACCAGCGTGAAGGTGCTCATCCAGAAGTGATAGCCCAGCCAGGGCATGAGCCAGTACTTGACCAGCCCCGCCCAGCCCGTGGTGGCGACCAGCGCGGGGAGGGCCAACCCGGCAAAGGCGGCCACCGCCGCCCATGAGACCAGCACGCGCGGCATCTGCTTGGCGGTGAACTTGCTGGCGTCAAAGTGCCAGAGTAGCCAGTGGCCGATGGAGGCCCAGCACTTGACGGGCGAGCCCAGGGCCAGCTTCCAGAACGCGCGCTTGCCTGTGTAGAACAGGGAGGGAGAGAGGGCATGGAGTGAGGGGGGGGTTGACACAGGGGTTTCGTTGGGTGTCGGGGACAGCCGCGCGACACAGCAACACCGAGGGTGGGGAAGGCATCCGGACGACACGCCGCACGAGGACGAGTGGATCAGGATCCCCACCGAGCACCCAGCACCCACTTGAGGACCAGGTGGCCGCGAGCTCGGGCATGATGGGGTGCCAGGCGGTGTCCTCGACCAACCTGCAGATGGCGACAGGCGTCAGAGGGAGGAGGGATGAGAGCAGAGGGTGGTGCAGGGAACTGTAGAATCCCTCCTGGCCCTCAGCTTTACTTCAAGCCCCATCAGCTCCAGCCTGCGAGAGGTCCCCATTCCAGGAATCCAATGCATCCATGGGGAACACCAGTCCCGGCCCTTCCCAAAAACCACTCACTTGTTGGTGTGGGCATGGTGGTGGTTGTGCTTGATGCGCCATGGCTCAAAGGGGTAGATGAGGGGGGCAAACATGAGGGTGCCCACGATGTCCTCCAGCAACCGGTTCTTGCTGAAGGCGCGGTGCCCGGCATCGTGCCCGATGACGAAGAACTAAGAGATGTGAAATGAGGGAGGAGGGGTTGTCAATAAAGGCCATCGATGCACAGTTGCCCTCTTAAATAGTGGGTCGCAAAGACAGCTGCCAAACACATGGTGGAGGGAATGACAAGAGTCTGGCCCACGCATAAAACGCATCAGCCCCCCATCTTGGAACATTCTGGAGCAACTCACCCCTGTGAACGCCGTCCCAGCCAGGGCCCATGCAAAGGGCAGCAGGTACCAGGGGGAGATGCTGATCAGGTAGAGGCTGACGGCCGCCGACACGAGGGTGATGCCGACGGCGCTCCATGCCCTCCAGGGGTTGATCTCAAACACCTCTGGGGGCATGGACTTTATTACCTGCACCAGGGTCACGTCCTCCGGGAGATCCTTGCCTATGGTGCGGTAGCCCAGCTTCTGGGCCAGTGCGGCACGCTCCTCGTCAGAGAGGCCGGCGGGCTGGGGCGTAGCCGGGGCAGCTGCAGGGGGCTCCTGCATGGGGGCCAGCGTGGCAGCCGCCTGGGGGGTGGTGGGGCCCCGCGCTGGGATCGCGGAGGCCCTTGTAACGCCTGTGGAGGGGGGCCATGGGGTTGTAAGCCGGGCGCGGGCATGTTGTCGGCCTCCCGAAGCCACCTCCCTGGGTGTGGCGCAGATTCGTCCGGCTGCCCGGATCCTCCATGCCCACCTGGAGCACAGACGCGTGCTGCATGGATTCGGCGCTGAAATGCCTGCATGGAACATGTGAGGGGGACCATGGTCGGTTCCAGAAGGGCGGATCGCCCGGCGCCGAGCTGCCGGTGACCACCCATCCGCCCACCTGCGTTGGCCGGGCAGGCAGGGCTTGCCATGCTCGCGTGGACACTACAGCACTCATGCTTTATTCTTGTAGTTACGTCGGGCTGGTCTGGCTTGGCGTGTACCAAATGGCGCTGGGCCCTATATTTCCGCGCTGTACCTCTCGTGTTGATGCACTTCTGTGTTTTTGGATGGATGGGTCCCAAAGAAAGTGCGGCGGGGGCACGTCGGTTGGCGTATCTGGTGATCACAAATCTTGGGACTGACACGCCATCCCTGCCCATCTGTGCAACAAATTTGGTTGATTCGAACTTGCATGTCGTTTCTGCCTCACAGAAAGTCCGGCCCATGCTAGAGGAGGTAGGTATGCTCCCAAGCGTCCCAGCATCGACAGTATCTGTCCAGCCTGCGCTGTGGCTCACTTCAATGCTTTACAGTATGCCCAAGCACGGCGACCCTGACCCCAGTCAGCATGCTCCCACCGAGGCCGCGAGCAGGGGCCCCAGCATGCCCTGTACCCGGGTCAGCCCGTCCTGTGCCCGCAGCTCCAGCTCCACCCTTTCCAGCAGCAGCGTCAGCGCCGGCAGCATCCCCGTCAGCGCCTCCGACCCACCATACACGTCCAGCAGGCGGTGGGCCAGCGCCGCCAGCTGTGGCGCGTGCCTCGGGTCGTTGATGTTGCGCCGCATGTGGTCCAGGAGGGGGCCCAGGCCAGCCGCGTCCCTGGAGCTCAGGGCGGAGGATAGGCCCCCCCGCGCCGCCAGCTCCTCCACCACACTCGCGACCACCTGGGACAAAGGTGGCGTTATTGAGGGGTTGATGGGGGGGCTGTGTCTGTCGCGAGTAGCGGGAGGCGGGCAGGGTTGCGCTGGTGGAGTGGCAGCTGGCGGGGGACGTTGATAAGGGAACAGGGGACAGGTCAAGGTTACACGCCTGGGGCAACTCTATCGTGGGCACGCTTGGGCGCGCACCTCGGCTCGCCGTGTGGAGAGCGCGGCGTCCAGGGCATCCCTGTACCTAAACTTGCGCAGGAACTTGTCGTGCGTGGCCAGAGCGGCCTGCATGGTGGTGGGGAGGGAAGGGGGGCACTGCAGTAACGTCTATTTTCCCTTCACCCGGGACTGCACATCACCCCTTACCCACAGTCCGCTGCACTTAAACCCTTGGCCTCCCAAGGACTTTGATGCACCACAGCAACACAATTGCTGCTGCAAGGTAGAGAAACAGAAAACTGCATCGCATCACACCTACCCACCCACCTTGCGTTCAGCTGCGATAACCGAGTCCTTGGCTGCTGCCTTTGAGGACTGGCCACGAATGAAGTACCGGTAGGTCGCCGCGGTCAGGGCTGGGGCCCTCCTGCACAGTTGGGATGTGGAGCGCGAGTGAACAATGCCATGACAACACATGAGGACGATGAGGAGCAAGGGGGAGGGGGGGCTCAGGTGCCGCTGAGTGCGCCCAAGGCTGGCCTGCATCAACACCCCTCACAAACTCGGCCCCCACCTGCTTCGTCGGCCGACGAGGATGCCCGCCTTGGCAGGGTCTGCGCGTGGCTTGGCGTGCTTCCTCACGGTGAGGGTACCGTCTGCAAGTCCCACAGCCAGCAGTCCGGCGTCGCCCGACAGCCCCAGGCTCAGGATGGGGCCGGGGTACTTTTGGATGTGCGTCACCTGGAACCTCTCCAGCTCGTACACCTGACCAGGGGGCGAGTGGGTGGTGGGTTGGGGGTAAATGTAGGCAGCACCCCTTGCAGGGCTGCCCATCGACATGGACTGGGACGAGCGGGTGTCTGCAGCATTTTCCTCTGCGGCTGCTGGTCTCTGATGCATCCACTCGCCCGAGATGGGTCCAACCGCGGGAGGAGCACCGAGGAGAATCAGCGAGGCGAAGACAATCCAATGGCGACACCCCTGTCGGATCCCACCAGCCAACAGCGCACGATGCGCACGGCGAAATCCCCTCCCTCCCACCCCTTCACGAACGCTCGCCTTGAGATGGCCGTCCAGGGCTCCAGTGAGGAGGCGAGGCGCAGCGCTGGAGTCGGGGCCCGCGTTGGGCGACACCGTGACACACGTCACCGTCTTCTGGTGATTGCTCAAGCAGGCCAGCTCCCGGCCGCCCCCAAACAGGTCCCACACCCTGACCTGCGTCCCGCCCGCAGTCACCAGCACCGAGCCTGCAGGAGTTCAGGGTGTGTGTCAGGGCTTCAGAACGTGGCGTTAGGATCCCTTGGAAACCACGACACGCATGGTCCAGTATTGGATCGATGCCATTCAGGGTTCAACCCACTCAGTCCCCTCCGCGGCCTCCCCAGGGCCCCGCTGGGCCTCCCCCCCCAAACACACACACACCCGAGGGGAAGAAGGCGACGGCCTCGATGGGCGCGCCGTGGTCCACGCTGAGCACGCTCTGCGCGCTGCGCGCGTCCCATACCTTGCAGACATGGTCGTAGCCGCCGGTGGCCCACGTCCCGTGCGCGGCGGGGTTCACCGCCGCGGCGCGGACGTAGTCGGAGTGCCCCTCCCAGCGCGACACCTGCTTGCCCTCGGAAACATCCCACCAGCGCACGGTGGCGTCGTCGCCGCCGGACAGCACATGCATGCGCCCGGGGTCAAAGCGGGCGACGTGCACGGGGCGCTTGTGCGCCTTGAACTGACGCAGCAGGGAGCGGGAGCCGACGTCAAAGAGCTGGACGATGCCGTCCTGGCCTCCGGCGACCAGCAGCTTGCCGTCGGCGCGCCAGGACGCGGAGTAGGCCTTGTCCTTGAAGCGGTTGATGGTACGGTGTAGGGAGCGGGTGGCGCCATCGTAGACCAGCACCTACACGGGGTGGGGGGTGAGGGTGGGGTGGGGTAGACTTGTTAGGCCAAGGGATGCCCGGGCGTTTGAAACGTGTTGATCGCCGTGGGTGGACAAAAAAGGCCCTTGCATGTGCAGCAATGCTTGCTGCAACAAGCACAGTCACCCAGGAGCGTGGCCAGTGCATCTACATGCGCTCCAGTCCCCATACGATTGGCTCACTGCCGAAGAATCAGGTCGGCATCCCACCCCAACCCTCGCCATGCACCCGTGTGGAGGAGGTGACGGCGAGGTTGTATGGTCGCACGGGGCAGAACTCTAGATAGTTGACGGCCCCAGCCTGTGGCAGTGGTGATGGGCCTAGGTTGAGGGTCGGCGCTGTGGTGAAGCCACACACAGATATGCGGATGGCCTGCAGGCCACGACACTTCCCTTTTCAGCACAGGGAGCGGCGTCCTCTATCTCCTCAAAGTCAATACCTCCCTCGAGAGGAGAGGTTATTGAATCAATTCACCACACCCCTTTTCTATGCCCTCGACACGCACCTGCTTCGCTGTTGCGGGGGAAAGGAATCTGCGCCAGTAGCGGCCCTCGGCAGTCTCCCCTAGCTCCCTAGCTGGGTACTGCTTGATGGGCAGTTTCTGGTAAGTACCCGCCTCGTAGTCCATGGTACAGGGCGCTGAGCGTTCAGCCCCTGTTCTAGATCATGTGCGCGGCGCTTTGGCTGAGCAACGGCGGGGTGACTCCCTGTTTCGCCGCAGCGACAGTGGTCCTTGGCGAGCAGCAGGGACCGGGCTACCCAGTATCAGGAGAATACAGCGTTGCTCAATATGAAAAACACATTCATCCAACAAGCCTATCTCCTGCATGTCCTTACTAGGTCCACCCGCTCGCCCATGCATGCGGTGCAATGGGCGAGAATTTGGCGCCCGGCAAAACGTAGGGGCAGTACCCCCGGATCGGTACTGCGACATTGAGGGACCTGAGCAGCTTCATCCGCAGAAGATTATGACAGGTTGTCGGGTTGCAGGACCTTGCAAACGCCACGCATGCACGAGTCATTGTGTTATTTCTATGAGATTCAACTGATAAGTTCCTCGTTTAGGCCCCCTGTGCTAGGAATCTCGACAACTCCCCGCCGCGCGACTGGCCACCCTTTGAACGTTTCGAACCGCGCGGTGCCTGCATGTCCCCCAATTCACCCCGCAGCTGAACTTCTACCACATTGACAGAGTCGCCATGCAGTTCTCGCTGGTACGGGTGGAGGTTGTAGGTCGCAGAGCTTCCGTGCTTGACACTGTTCTGGCCGGGAGTCCGGTCGGAGGGGTATGCGCATGTGATCGACCACCCTCCCCTCCACCCCTCCATGCACACAGGCCGGCATGAACACTCGTGCCCTACAGACCGGTGCGGAAGGGTTGCGCTGGGTCCTGCGCTGGTGGAGGCCGGGCAGGGTGTGCCCCTGGTGGACCCAGCCTCTCTAGTCCTGTGTGCCCCTGCATGCCACGTGGTCAAGCCAGCTACTCTGGTGCCTCCTTGAACCCAGCACCTCCCTCCCTCCCCTATGCCGTGGCGACCATTTCCGCCCACTCTAACCCATCATCCCCCACCCCTGCAGGTGCCCGCCCCTCCCTGCCGGCGGCCCGCCCGTCCCGCCGCGTGCGCCCCGCCCGGCGGTCCGCCCCCTGCCCCGTGGCGCGGACCATGGGGGGCGGTGAGGAGCAGCCCTCCTCCGCCGAGGGCGTGGCCTGGGACAAGATCTCCACCGACGAGCTGGCGGACTGGGCGGGTGCGGGCCCGCCCACGCCGCTGCTGGACACGGTGGCCTTCCCCGTGCACATCAAGAACTTCAACTCACGCCAGCTGCAGCAGCTGTGCAAGGAGCTGCGCGCCGACCTGATTCACACGGTGGCCAAGACGGGGGGCCACCTGGGGTCCAGCCTGGGTGTGGTGGAGCTGACCGTGGCGCTGCACCACGTGTTCAACACGCCCGAGGACCGCATCGTGTGGGACGTGGGGCACCAGGCCTACATCCATAAGATGCTGACGGGGCGGCGCGCGCGCATGCACACCATCCGCCAGCAGGGCGGGCTGTCGGGCTTCACGCGGCGCGCCGAGTCAGTGTACGACCCCTTTGGCGCGGGGCACTCCAGCACCTCCGTCTCCGCGGCCCTGGGCATGGCGGTGGGGCGCGACCGCAAGGGCCGCGCCAACAACTGCATCGCGGTCATTGGGGACGGGGCCATCACGGGGGGCATGGCTTACGAGGCCATGAACCACGCGGGGTTCCTGGACACCAACATGATCGTCATCCTGAACGACAACCAGCAGGTGTCACTGCCCACCCAGTACAACGGCAAGAACCAGGAGCCCGTGGGCGCGCTCAGCAGCGCCCTGGCTCGACTCCAGGTGATGTGACG